GGGTGGAGGAGAAGGGAGAAGAGAAGGCATTGGGGTGGAAGAGAAGTCACCCCATGGTGCCATTTCACCCATAAAATTTTAGTTCTCTTGGTGTAATTCAAGATTATTTTCTTTAAATCAACACTGCACTGCATTATATATTGTCAATATGTAAATTAAACTTCAAAATGACCAATAATTTGCTTGTAAACACAGATAAAAGCGTTTAGTTGAAGAGTCTCAAGCAAGATGTTACCTCCACTGAAAAGACAAAAAGACTGACGCCTGTGTGCTGTGTTGGCAGGCTGGATGGCGTGCCACAAACTAGTGACCCTACCTTCAATTATGTTCAATAATTGTTAAAATGACTAAAAAATTAATATTAAACTTTTAAAATTATGGAATAGTATAAACTTCTTGATATTTACTAAAAGGGTAAGGAATTTAAGTCCTAGAACCGATTACTGTATTGGCCGACTAATACTACAGCTGGTGGACCGCCAAATGCAAGCTAAAACATGTGGAGGTCGGCTCGTAAGAAACTCGTTAATCGAGGGATTGCTCGTTAACCGAAATCTCGTTAACCGAGGCGCTCGTTAACCGAGGGACCACTGTAACTGGCTGTGTGTAGGTGGAGCATAACATCGTGAATTCCGCAATCACTGATAACAATAAGAATGTCATGAAGATAGTTAATATTATTAAGCATGGTGAGAGATGTGTAATGGGTAAATAAAAGCTCTACAACGACCATATCTCTGCCGTTCATGGCTACGACGGTGAGACTGATGGGCACACCAGTAATTAATTCTCCGTGACTACCAGTAATGATAGTCACGGAGAATACACAAGTTGTTACCAAGGTTGGCGCCACCCACACCAGGGGAAGGAGGTAATGTCGAACACTGCAACATGCCGAGGTCTCATTCCTTTACCATCGTCGTCACCAACAGGTAAGTCACATTAATTTGTCACCATAGCCCATGTCGTCCTTATACTATTGCAGGGTGTCCCATGAGTGACAGCAGATATTGGTAGAGGTGAAAGAATATGATATTTAGCCACCACGTCTCTATCTCCATCCGTTTCCCTCTATCTATAATACAAAGTGTAACCCTACTCAGAAAAAATAATGAATGGGTCTTTCAAACAAATTAAAGATGAGGTGCACCCCACCCAAATAGGGATGGGCCCTCCATTTCCTTTCGCCTTCTTTTCTCCACATCCTTTCCTCCCTCCCATCGCCCCAGTCACCCCAACCTACCACCTAATACCATGCAGTGGGCAGAAGGCCACACACTTTCTCTCCTCCTAAAAGTCTGTTCCGTTTAACCCACATTCTTTCACTACTAAACCTTCCCCCTTTCCTATATTTCGCTATCGCTATCGGTATCTCCCGCCTCGACTCCGCCATTTGTAATGGTTGTCTTGCGTAATTTGTAAAATCGACCTCACGGCTAAACGTAAACCGAAAAATCCATATATGTATAGAAGTTTTATACTCAGAATCACATATTCTGTCACCTCTACAAATATGTGCTGTAATTAGTGGGACACCCTATTATAATTATATGACAGTTGTTATATGAGCTCCTTAGTTAACTTCACCATAAAAATATGGTGTTTGATGTGCTATGCGTTTGCCGCACATTACCTTACTCGGTTATGTTACACCCCCAGTTGCAACCTGGGAGTTTGGGTTGGGTAATGTAGTATTTTGAGCAGAAATGGAATTCAGAACGACTCAATGAACATGAAGAAAAACGATTTTATATAACGAACCCTAATGTAATGTAACCTATTACAGTTATATGTAATCTGGGACGAACATGTCATAGCTGAAAATTGTCAAATAAATATGTAAAGCAGTGGAAAACCATATATTTTGATTATCGGCGAGGCTAACTACCTATAAACAATTAATATTTGACGATTGGCAAAAGTCCTGGGAAAATGAACCAACAAGTCATAAGCTAAAAATGATCAAATCATCAGTTTATCCTTGGTCACCATCAAAACAATCCTCTCGACATCACGAAACTATTCTGAATCGTCTAAGAATTGGGCATACGCGATTGACGCATGGCCAACTCATGTCTTCCCCTAATGGAGCCCCACCTATATGCTCCAACTGCTGAACACAAATAACAGTCCAACGTGTTCTCATTGAATGCCCTATTTATAATCAGTATCGAACAATGTGCTTCACTAACCCTACAATGTAAGATATTTTAGCAGAGACCCCAAAATTTTCGCTAAGTTCAGTTTTGACCTTTTTGAAATACTGTACTGTAATCTCCCCCAAACAATATAACACTAAATTATAGAAACACAAATATATGTTTACTAATCCCTCTGGCCAGCCCTAGGAGAGACTCAAATGTGTGTCAGTGGTCTGGTTAAACTAAATCTTGATGATGATTATCGGCGAATGTTCACTCAGCAGTCGCAGGGGTGGTGGTGGAGGTTTGGGGGGCGGTTTTTAATAAACCGTTAATTATTATTATTATTATTATTATTATTATTATTATTATTATTATTATTATTATTATTATTATTACCAAGGTCCCCACCAAGCAGCGAAGTAAGATAGTCCCTGGCTTCCTTCAATCCTGGTGCAGTCTTCTCCTCCTTCGCCAAGAAAGTCCTTGATAGCATCTTCTTCCAAAACAGACCCGTCTCGTCGAAATGCAGGACTTGTTTGGCGTATCCTCCTTCCTCTACCTTAGCCTTCAGGAGTGCAAGGAAGGCTTTAGCACTCACTGAAGGTTCCAAGTGTTCCCTGAAGAATGCAGTGATGGGTAGGGAAACACCGGGTAACACTGAAGTCCATTTATTAAAGGATAGGAGAAATAAAAGTGGTGACTAGTGTGTGCCATGCACGGCCCACGGAGTCAGACTGAGACTGCCTTGCCATATGGCAGCCTCGGGGCAATGTTGCCACGTAATTATATACATAGATGCTACTCGGCACAGTAGCTTATATACAAGGTTGCTACTCGGCACAGTAGCTTATATACAAGGTTGCTACTCGGCACAGTAGCTTAGATACATAACCTACACTCACAACGTCAGCACTGGCTGCCTCACCAGTCAGACGAAGATTGTAGAGATTGGTGTGCCTCTTGAGCTAATGAAACCACCCAGAACTTTCCTTGAAAGGGGCTCACCTGCACTGCTCTCACCACTATGCCTTCAGCATCACCCAGATGTTGCTGGCCTTCGCCATGATGATCACTGTGGGGAGAGGCAAGTGACATCAAGTTTGGTCCTGAATCTAGTCTCAGAGTACCTTGGTTCACACTTCCTCAGTAACCTAGAAGCTGAAACCGGGTTGACATTCTCCGCCGCAGCCTTTACTTCTGGTGCCTTTTTGATGATGGTAGACACCGTTGACTGGACCAGACCAAGTACTCTAGCAATAGAGCATACTCCTCATGCTGCTTAACAATGTCAAGCTTCACCTCCAGAAAGACAGTTTTCCTGGGTGTTTTGGCCTTTGTCAATGCAGGGGTCTCAGCAATATGTTTGTTAACTATGTTCACTATGTGTAACTATACAGGTAGTATAGTAGTACCTGTCTCACTTCAGTCACAAAACTAAGCAAAAATGTTACTATAATGTACAGTATTAACCGAAATATTACTGATATGTACAGCATTAACCTGTAGTGTGTAATGTACTGTATTCCAATGTATCTGCACTGCACTGTTTCACTTCACATTTTTATTAAATGTGCCGAAATATTACTGATATGTACAGCATTAACCTGTAGTGTGTAATGTACAATATTCCACTGTATCTGCACTACACTGTTTCACTTCACATTTCCATTAACTGTGCCAAAATGTTAATGTATAGGTAAAGTACAGCATTAACCTGTATTGTTTAGTTATATTAGTAAGAAACAAAAGGAATAACAACAAAAGCACATTGATATTAGCCAGGACACACAGAACACATGTTCATGAAAACAGAGTCGACGCTCTTTACAATCACAGAAACACAGATAATATCACTTCATAGTCACCATAACACAGTTCAATCTAATGTTAGTGCTGTCCTCTCGCTATACAGTATAAGTAAAAAAACAAAACACGGATGATAAGTACAATACTGGCCGATAATCGTGGAGCCATGCAATGGCGGGTTTTGCGATTGACAAAGAACCAGACAGGGCTGTAGTGTGCGGGTTGGTATGTGGTGACGCGTAGGTAGGCTGACAAGTGAAGGTAGAGATGCGTGGTGCATAGGGTTAAATATTGTTTCCTTATAAAATGTCACTGACTTGATATAGAAAAGTATAACTTGCATTGCTGGAATCCTTGCAAGACAACGATTAATTTGAGTATAAACAACCCATAGTTAGCACCAGGGAAAAAAAAACTTGTGACCAATGACTATTGACGGCTATTCGATGTATCATTAAAGCGAGGTGTTTTGATCATATACAGGGTATAGGGAGATGATGTTAATTTATAACCATCATTAAAGTGAAATACCGCATCTTGGGATATCGTATATCGGGGTTTACCTGTACTTTATATTATTTTTGCCACTTGTCAGCTCACTAACTTGTTGGGCAGTCAGTCTGTTCTGTTATACATTGCTGGCAAGTACTGTACTGTAAACGTACAGGCTCAACTGTATATGTATGGATTTTACTGTACCTGTACATGTATGGACCATACTGTACATGTACAGACTGTGTTACATATGTAGTGACTACTGTACATGTATGTTCTCTGTTATATATGTATGGGTGCTACTGTGCATATATGGGCTCTATTATACATGTATAGGCTCTACTGTATGTCCATATATGGCTATCATTTCTCCCCTTTTCTCTCTTTTTATGCTTGTATTCCAAAGTCGGTCTTGACAGACATTTAAGTACCTGTATAAAGATGTCCTGTAAAATATTGACAGCAGCTACACCTGTCTCTCTCTCTCGAAATAGTTCAGTTCTGGTACAGTGCTGTGTTAGTGAGAAATAACTTTTGTATTCTTTGTGTTTACAGGAAGGCACACTGGAATGGCCGTTCTGGACTAAGCTGATAGTGGTAGCAATTGGGTTCACTGGAGGGCTTGTATTCATGTATGTGCAATGTAAAATGTATGTACAATTGTGCAAGAGGTGGCGTGCCTTCAACAGGGTCATCTATGTCCAAAATGCTCCGGAAAAGGTATGCTTGTTAGTAATCACCATAATGTTGCTTTGTAATGAATCAAACAACATCTGTTATTTCAATATATGTAGTAAGCTCGATGTTTTTCCTGTGTGTCAGCAGAATGTATACCATTCAGATAAAAACTTTCTAAAAGACTCTTGAAATGTTTATATTGCTTACTATTTAGGTTCCCTTAAGTGAGCGTGACCGTGCGGAGTTGCAGCGTGATGTGGCGCAGCAGTGTGGCGGCGGCTGCGGTGGAGGGAAGGACAACTGCAGCGAATCTCATGAGTCAGAGAAGTCACTCATGGGTGTGTCCATCATCACAGGGGCAGCGACCCATGAATTAACTCCTACTACCACCATCACCTCTTTTAATACTAACACATCTATCACAACTACCACTGTCACTTCCACAAATACCTCCATTACAACCACCAGTCCCCCTGGTGCTGTATGGACGGAGGCTCCCTCACCGCCCCTCGCTCCACAGCCCACCTTCACCACAGGTCTCACTACTGCTGCTCTTACTTTTTAGGTTTTATTGTGTTCGTTCATGTTATTTTTTACAGTTTGTTTTGACAATATGTTTCTTTAAAACATTAAGAACAAATTCTGACTTGAGCCTTTCCAAAAGTTTTTCCTTTTCTTTTGTGTTGATAAAGGTTTTTGGAAATTCTTCACTAGGATCTCAAATGTTTGAATTTTACAGTACAGTATTTTGATATGTCATCCTTTATGTTTTTCAAATATTGCATTTTTTTAGCTTTTATTTTCACTACATAAAACTGGTAAACTGAATGTCTTTCATGTGAGATGACTGAACAAGTGGTTTAGAATAACTATGAATCAAATGTGATTGTTACTATATATCCAGACACTGTCAGCATATGTCTACGGTGAACTCACTAACTAAAGAATAGTGCTCTCTAAATCTTAGTTCAGCATATATATAATGTAAATATAGTTAGATTTATTAGATGTCACTGAAATCTCATGTTGATATACAGTACAGTATACATACAGAGAAGTGAATTGAATGAGATATTTAGTTAACAGTACAAATAAGAATAAAATTTATATGTTTAAGACAAAATTATAAAGGTAAAAATGTCTTGATAATGAATGACTTAACAGTAATACCCAGGGGGCTAAGAGACCTTTTGTGGTGCTGACTGTGCTGTAAAATCGTTAATTTACTGTAGTTATTATTTTCTTTGTTGTTAATGTCTATGGCATTATTTATGGTGACTAACTCTCTTATTGTTAAACATAGACTTGGCAACCATGTGAGGTTATATCCTCTAGGGAATATAAGATTAACCCCCATATTATTTCACCTCAAGAATAACCTCCCTAACTTTAACCTACCCTCCAGATACCATTAGGGTGTTTAATCAACAGGTGAAATAAACTTGAGGGCAAATCTTCATGTGATTTTACTCCAGCTTGCTCATAGAACATATATCTTGTTACATAAAATTTTACTTACCAGTACAGTATATAATTTATTGCATTTTATATACAGTATTGTAATTTTTAATTTTCTGGATGATAGAACCCTTTTGGTTTGGTCTTCATGCAGTTAGAAGGAAAATGTCAAGAGCAATGGGTTGGTTTATATTGATCAGTGGGAATGATGCCTAAGTGAAATGTTAAATACAGTAATTAAACGCTGACTTAGTTTCTGTGCACAGTATTGGGGTATTATCAGTGATGTACACGTCAACGAAAAAAAGTGGCGCCGCCAGCTTCAGCGTAAACGGCCGAGAAATTTGATGCCATCAGCGTTGGCGTTAAACGATATCATAAATTGACGCCGTTAGCGTCAACGAGTTTTCAGTGACGTACAAATGCAGCCCCCAAAACGCGTATTCTCCTGTGTATGGGAGTAACATATGCAAAATCAAAAAATATTCATTAATTTTTAATAATTTATTATGATTTATATTTTATAATTTATTATTCATTTGTTCCCCCGCAAGAATACTAGCATCTCAAAATGATTGTCGCTAATTCTGGGCGTCAAGGCGTCCTTGCCCATGGAGAACATGTGCTCCATGGCAGCACTAGAGGGGAGGGGGGGGTGTTGTATTTGATGAACAACTCCCTCATGGCCTTGTGGGTCGTCTTTATAACAAGATAATTGAAAATCGAACTTGGAAAAATAAAAAATTTTAGAAGTTGACGAACAAATTGACGCTTGACGCTCCGCTTGGGTGAAAAGTTGACTGCGTCACCTGTAGCGTCACCTGCCCCAAAAATTGATGGCATCAGTGTTAACAAAAAGTTGCCACCGTCCATTGACGGCATTAATTATCGGCGTCAACGTACAACACTGGGTATTATATTCATTATCATTGTCATATTTATGCACATATGGTTAGAATTGGAGTTAGTGTTGAAATGTTGAAGAATAACTCCAATTTTTTATTAATTCCCACAGGGTTGTCCAATTTAGAAATATCCCAGACATTTTAGCTTTGGTTAATAACTACAAGAACCTTTTACAGTAGAACTAGCATATTAAAGCCCTGACTGAGCCCCAAGGTATAGAATACTGTATTGATAATACATTAGAAATTAAGAAAATCAGTATACTACTGTAAGTCCAAAATGACTTACTTAGTGTAGTTTTTTAAGCTTTTAATGCACTCACTAGTTCAGTTTGGTGACCATCATAAACTACAGGTAACAGAATAATGCACTTGTTGCACAGGTTATGACCAGTGTTTAAGGCAGTTCACATTATTCCATAACTGTGGGATGAAGATGAGGACAAAAGAGAGAACAAACACTATTCTTTTATATATATATATATATATATATATATATATATATATATATATATATATATATATATATATATATATATATATATATATATATATATATATATATATATATATATATATATATATATATAAGTAATTGATTAATTGTGGTACTGCTACATATTCCATAAATATAAGCATTCACTTTGTACATTTTGATGTGAAGTATTGAGACAATTTATCAAAATTCATTGATACACAAGTACACTTGAATGTTACTTAATACTTACTGTGCTGTAACTCACATGCATTATTGCTATATTTCAAAAGACCATTTATAATTCCATTCACAGCCCAGAAAAAAAAGATACATTTTGATTTATGAGAATACTTTGGTGCTATTCTAATTTATGAAACATTTTTACTTATGCCTCATTTTTTTAATGTTTTTTGTTAAGGAATCAGCTTTAACTATGTATCATTTCTTCACTTATTTCTTATAAAAATATTTAGTTTCAATGTACAAAACTTTTGCTATTCTGCTGAGATTCAACCAGTCCTTGCATGGCTATTGATGTTAACTCGAGGTGGTGTAGGTGTTTTCTCTGTTATGCTCTTATTTTTCAAAACCTAAACTACACCAATCAATATTATGTACTATTATATGTGGGAAAAATTATAATAATTTGAACATGACATTGTATTGCCATTCCTTTAACACATATGTTTCAGGCCAACTCCTTATCATATCAAGGAGGAGTAAGTTTTAGTAATGTTAGGTATACAGTAAGGTGACCAGAGGGTAGGCTTGGTATAGGTATCTTAAAATTATTGGTGACTCTATGATTTAAAAATTATCAGTACCTGCTGAGGTTCCCATTGTGAAATAAAAAGTTTGAAGGAATGACTACTTCACCCATGAATCTTTTCTAGAAGCTGAAGGACTTGTGAGTCTGGCTCTATTATACAGTACAGTACGTATATTGACAGGCATAACATACCGTAAATACATTACATAAATTTTAATGTTTTTGGAGACAATGAACGTACAGTAAAACTTAATTACATTAGGCATTTTTTATTTGTACATAATACTGCAGTTAGCTGTTTAATTTAAAGCTTGAGAAGGGTGTAATAAAGGTCAGTCAGGTGTATATAGTACGGTATAGTACAGTATATGGCCAATATTGTGATAGGTTTGTGTGCCTCATCACAGTGCTATGCAGCAGTAGGGGTAACATACTGTGTACTGTACCGAATTTTTTTTTTTTAACAAATATTTTTAATTATGACATTTTGCTGGGATAACATTACATGTTTCCCAGTGGAAGTTTACCAAACTTTCATTGTTACTTTTTACTGTACATCATAACTGAGGATTGTACTGTATTGTTTACAACAACAACACATTAAATTGTTTTATGGTTTTGCATGATACGATTGCTGATATTTGCATATTGACTGCAGTGAAAGCCAGATATGATCTCCTTGGTGCTCTCTAATGCCACTGCATTGTATCTGAAGCCTAGCCTAAGTCTGGATTGTGACCAGGTGTGTGGCTTAACTTTATGTTTTTTATCCATATTTGTTTGCTCACAAAATAGTCCATCTGCACCAAGCACCCATTTACCTTCTTAGACCAAGCTTGTTGATCCTCCATGACTCCTGCATGTACAGTATGTTACTAGGGATACCATAATTTAGCTCTGTACACTACTGTACTGTGTATTACTCGTACTTTATTTCCGCTTTATTTTGGATAATTGAATTAATGACAAAATGAATTTAGTTATCAAAGAGAACCTACTTTTCCAGAGGTTACTAGTTTGGGGGGTCTAAACTACCGGTATATTTTGTGTCAACATTAATTTGACTATATACAATACTGTATAATTTTTAATATTATGAATAACATTACATTAAATATATTATTGATGTTACAAACTTTAACCTCAAAGTAACTATATTTTATCACTTAATAGGTTCAGTAATAATGCTGAAAAGAGACCATCATCCTTATATAGAGTTAGTAACATTGACAAACTACTGTACAGGTATTCATAGAATAAGATGCAGTTCTCTTTAAAGAATAACTACACTGTTCAATTAATTTTTTTTTATGAATTGGTACTTTATTGTGATATTTCAGCTTATCCCTCTCAATTTACTTACAATCTTCCTTCATCTCTCACGTGTGGGTGGCTTAAGTGAAACAGAAATCTCATGAAAGGAAATGATCTGAAGAGAAGTGTAAGGAAAATGTATATTGACTAAAAAGGAGAGATACAATTATAAACATCCCCCCCCCTCACATACACTTCCTTGTAATATATACAGTGTGGATCATTAACCTCTGTATTTGGGTAATGATATAACTCTATATTAATATCACTTCATCAGGTAACAGGAGCAATATTTTCACCAACAACTAAAATTGTAGGATTGGTTGTGGAATCTCATTTTCTGACTGACCCCAGACAGTGGGACTTGCACATTATGGCCACAAAGTTTATGGGTTGAAAAATTATAAATTATTTAGGTATTCCATAATAACCAAATCCCCGAGAAGGATATTTAAACAAAAATCATATAAGGTGAAAGACAACAGGCTGTAATGTTACATCGGCAGATGTACTGTACAGTACAGTAGGGGGTCCCTGACTTAAGAACGCCCGCATATAAGAACGGGGCTAAACTTGAAATTTACATAATTTTATTAACCTAATGACTTATTTTTACTTTCATTTACTGCATTTTGTAATTATATTTCTTTTGTCTTACTTTAAGTGATTTTTAGATGTACAGTATATAAGGACTTAGGATATGATATAGTGGGATTTTAAACATTATTCTGTAAGTACAGTATGCACATAGCATGTGTTCCGACCTACGTACAAATCCGACTTAAGAATGTCCTCTGGAATGGAACCCGTTCGTAACCCTGGGACCTCCTGTATATTGTCTTAATTAAGGTCAGTAAATCCAGTGTTCCTTAATAATTATCCAAAATTGAATGTGTCTGGTATAAAAAAATCTAAAAGACATAATTTGTTGATTGTGAAATCAGATTCCTTTCGATATACAGTATAGCCTGATTCAGTTAGGGTCACCAACACACTGGTATCACCCAAATTGGATTGTTTGCAATTTGTAAACAATCTTAAAATGTAAAAACAAAAAAGTCAAATTTTCTTGTGTAATACTAAAGCCTGGGACTATATGGGTCTATCTTTAACTCCTTGAGTACTGAAATGTTGGAAATAGAAGCACTTAATGCTGTGTAAAAGATGTTACTGACAAGGAGTGGCTGGAAGTGAGTGTTTTTGCCAAAATGGTCACTTATGACCTAACCCTCTGCTGATGATAAGTGCAGTGTCTACTTGCTGATAAAAGGTCATGACTCATTGCTTTCTACCTTAAATGGTGGATGCTGTTTCCAAGGATCCCTTCCAGGGTCTTGGTTATGATAAAGACATAACTAAATTATGAATCGGTTTGCTGTCGAATGGTTTTCTGGGATTTCAACCTTGACAATGAGCCTCCCCATCTGAGAAGATTTCAAATGCATCAAATCACAAATTGCAGGCACTGTTTGGTGTGATTTTGAATTACAGTACAGTACTGTACAGGTATTTTCAAAATCTTAAAAAATGTCTTTAATTGGTATGCACGATTTTTAAAGGGAAAATTTTAAGAGCAACGTAGAACATAATGAATATGTGAAGGTCCAGCAGTGAAAGTTTGGTGGGAAAGTTAGTGCAGCATAACATTAGGTGTGCACTTGATGTATGCAGGGTTCAATATACACCACTGGTCATATATTGTAAATTACATCATAAACTTGGTACAGGTATCAAGATGTCAAGATGGTAAAAAATAAAAGAAGAATGTGAAAGACAATTTTTAGAATGTAAAGATTGAAACTAAGTGATAGAACATGACATACAATTGTGGTGAAAATAGGGGAACATTATATAGGGAGTGGATAGCTGTTAGGAGGACCATCTCATCAAGTTATACTGCACTGTACTTCTGTAGAGGAGCTCCAACAGGTGACTCAACACAACCAGTACTACTCTTCACACCATATGTGCATATGTATGTATGCTCAAATGGTAATGTTGGCCTGTGTATTTGTAGATATATGAGTGTCACCATGTGTTTGTATGTGTGGGGCATAGGTGTGTGTGTGCATGTATGTCTGTGTGTGTGCATGTGTGTGTCTGTGTGAGTGTGTGTTGGAGCACATGCACATTTGCATTTTAGAGAAGCCTTTGGAAATACGTACAGTATTGTTAACGCTATGAAGTACTGTATCTTGTTCATCAACTGGTCTTTTCAGTTATTGGCTCATTATCCGTTAAAAGATTTGCTGTATGAATGTAAATATATTACTCATTCATACATATATTCATTATTAGTTACTCTGGCCAATCACTCAAGCTCTACAATAGTATAGTACAGTACAGTACTGTACTGTAATAGACTTTACAGTACATGAAGATGATCAACAACACTGCACCCTGAGGTACCATACCCAAAAGGTAATACTGTACTACATGTACTGTACAGTATTTGTGCAGTAAAGAATAATGTAGACATGCACCGTAATTATTGCTCCTGGATAATGACGTATCTTTGACTATCTTAATGATCAAATAAATATCGTTTTCTTTAAATGTACTCTAAAGAATGAAATCATTTGGATATACATATGAGAGGATTTGTTTTGAAAGCGTCTTTTTTTTTTTTTTTGTACAATCATCAGTACTATTTCGGAACAAATTGAAAGACAAATCCAAACATATAAAATAAAAGATAATATTAAAGCAAAATGTATGTACCTCAACCAATTTTTAATAATCTCTTCTTTTTCATGTGGAGAAAATGATAATTGAATGTCAACCTCACAATCAAGAGATTCGAAACATACGTAAGAGCTTCTGCATTATAGGATTTCATTAATACAGGGTACTAGAATCTGTAACCTTGAAGATAAGGTTTTGTTCTATGATTGGACTACATTTTAACTTATATAAAACGATCTTAGCTTGAAAAGTATCCACAAAAACCATGTAAGAGTAAACATGCTTACCAAATTGGGATATAGGCATCAAGCAATGTGAACACCAAACACCGCCTTACTGCAGATGCACCTCAGTAATGTAATAATTTACACTTAAGAATCAAATCATGTTCTGAATCAACACATAATAAATTTTTGCAAACTCAAATGTCAGTCATGCCTCCTGTACAGTACAGTACCTCACACTTAGTTACGTTGTCGCCACTGAATGATGTACCGTAGCCTTGTATACTGTCAACGTCACTGAATAATAGTTTTAAAGCAGAGTACAGTACTGTATATCTTAACTATGTGTTGTGTTGTATACCTGTATTTCATCACTGGCATTATTTTGTTTTGTTGTCAGTAGTACAGAGAATACTATTTAAATATTTTGATATTTACATAATCCTGACTTAAAAGGATTATAAAAAAGTTAAAACTGGTGCTAAAATTCTAATACAGTAACAAAATACAGTTAATATAAAGCTTCTATTATGTGTTGCTTTGCTAAGTTACATTTTACTCTGGTTTGTAAGAGTAAAATAAACAATTGGTTGTATTCATAGATAATGGGGTAGTCAGTGTCACACCCAAGATAAACACTGGACACAACCTGAAGTTATTTTATTTCTTTTCAGGTGTTTTGTCTGGGATGCGACGCTCTAGAACTACGCCTCACCAGGCATCAGCATTTGTGTCTAAAGGACCACAGGACTCTAGGCCTGGAACTAGAGATACTCGTCCAACATTTGAGACCCCATTTGTCTTTGAAGGAAGGTGTAACCATGGTAGTATGGAAGAGCTTTCTAGTCAAGCATTGGCACAAAGTGAGATGCAGCCTTTCAGAAAATCAAGTTCTCATAGTGTGTGCCTAGAGAAAGGTGTAGATCGTGCTCTGGTTGGGGGTGGAATGTCTCGTCAAGATCCTTTTTTTGACAGCAACGGACATATTCGAGATGCTCATTCTTCATCGAACTCTCGGAGAGGGGAAATCCCAAGGGTGGAGCCTCGAATGATCCACACACCCAGTCTAAATCTGCAATGCAGGACTGAGAGTGGTGTAGACGCCCATGAAGTGGAGACGCTACACCTTGATAATATGTGATACTCGACACTTGCCGTTGAACTTCTTTGATAAATGGTTTCTACTAGTATTGAACATCCATGGTATTAGACACTTCATATGCTCTTTTCTTAACCAAGCCAGACTGCAGTCAACATTTTCTTCATCCAAGAATACATTGAAAGTGATGTGGATTTGATGACTAACTTTGGAAACTTTACCTATTTAATATAAAATAACATGCACATGGCATGTCATGGCTGGTCCCATAAAAAAGTCATGCATCTGAGAATTTCATAATTTTTCTAATAACTCTTCATTTGAAATCATAAACAATCATCGAAACTGTGTGAAATTTTTTCAGTGTAGCAAAATTTTGAAATTATACATAGAATATAACCCAGAAAGTTATGTTTAATCATTTACTGTGTTGAGCCAGTGTATTATCTGCAAAACAAAAAAAGTGGTTTTTATATTTGGAACTCCATTCAAGCTGGCCCTTGAGTACATTATTATACATTACAAACTCAAGAAGTAAAATATAAAGCTAGGTTAATGGAGAGGATATAGCTAATGCAAAAACTTCACTGCTCATGTACAATCCATTAAGACTAATAAAATTTGTGATATCGTTTCCCGAGAAGTCATGAATCTCTATGTCATGTTTTTTAATATGTCATCTGTTCTCACCATCAGTCTGTATAATTTTTTTATGTATATCTTGTTGAGGCTCTTATGACTACATGGAGCTATGATCAAGAGTGAGAGTGTTCCAATAACAGGGTTTGGTAATCTTATAAAATACAATTTTGATAAGAATATTAACTTGGTAACCTATGTAGATATAAATGTTGGGCTTGAGTCAATACTTCACTCCATCCTCTACTTAGCAGGATGATCAAATATAAGAAACAGGAGCTGTTAACACAGCCACACCTTTAAGTAACCTCCTCTGACATTCACACAGCATCCATTGATAACTATAATGTCCAACTCCTAAACCTTTATTGGCTGTAAACTTAACATACTGTACACATATTTGAACTGATATAATTGCCCATTAATTTACTACTAAATGTCATAATTCCTAGTACGTTCATAACATTTTCCAGCTTACATTAATGCAAGTAGATACAGTATACATAATAAAATTACAATTACCTATATAAAGATGCTAAATCCTGTTGATAGATATTCTCAACAAAGACAATTCCTAAACATGGTGGATCAACAGGAAGGTCTGCACTTATATGCTGTCATTAGAGAATTGAATCTGAACAGAACTCAATTATTTGTTCAATTATATTTAAACTATTATATTTACCATAATAGATTGACCATAGAAAACTGTGAATGGAATCTTAGCTACAACTCGGCACACTACTGAAATGTCAGCATATAAGTATAGCTCTCGTGACCTTCCTAAGTCTTCGTCAGACTCGCTACCATGTGCTTGACTAGTTGTGATATTCCCATTATAGTATACTGTATATAGTTTGTCACAAGGGAACTAAAATTTTGTACTTTGAGAAGTAGAGAGATGTATTTATTGTTTCTACAAATGATGTATCCGCCCAAGCAGTGAGTGTGTTCTCTATATTAATTGTTGTGTCACTGTGTCTGGCGAACACAGGGGTTGTGTCTTGGCTTGTGTTTCTGCATGGGAGTGAAAGAATCATAGGACACAAATATCATCTCACATCACACATGGCATCTAACTAATGACAGCTTACAAAATCATTTTGTGAAATTCATATATTAGAAGAGCAATAATGGCCGTTATGTATTCATCGATACTGACAGCTTTTTAAACAGCTGAATAAACTTTGTATAATTTCATTTCATTTATATAAATTAATAATTGAACATTAACTTTACATTCTACAGATATTTACAGTGGTATGCTACATGTTTGGTGCTCCATCTGGCAAAGTAACATGACCTAGTGATTAATAATTGGTATTACTACAGTAGACCAATTGCTTTTTCTCTGAATGTTTAATTTTGTTGTAAAACAGTAGCTTTTCTATTTAAATTGTCAAACTGAATACAGATTTGGAATATCTTTCTCTCTAACTTTTTACAACAAAATGCAAATTAAGCAAACACAAGAAGACATTTGATATTCACAAGTGTTGATTATGATGGATGAGTCTCTTGTGCAATACTGAGGGAACTACCAGTTGATAATTTATGTCCCTACACCTTTATACATTATCATAAACTCACCCCGTCTGTTATAAAGAAGTGTCTTTGAGGCTTATTGAACTGATATAGAATTGTTTTAATCTGCACTTAATAGTGTAACAAACAGCAAAAGTCCCAATTTACTGTACAGTATTCAAACATCAGGAATTTGTACAGTATACGGTAAGTATACCGGTAATTTTGATACAATATCCGTAATCTGATAAATGATTATACTGTAGTGATATTTCCGTTAGCCGGAACAATTGGTGCAGAGCAGTTCCGGGTAACAAGCCAACTCTCTCAAAGCTGGAAAAAAAGCCCTCATCCCTGGAATTTTCCGGGTAATGGAAAAATATTCTTGGAAGTTCCAGAAATTGCGCATTGCACCATCTCTTGAACCCGGAAAAATATCCCTCATCCCCGGAATTTTCTGGCTACCAGAAAACTTTTCTCAGAATTTCCGGAATATGTGCCTGATTTTCATCTCTCAAACCCAGAAAAAAATACCCCATCCCTAGAATTTTCCAGGTACTGTACTGTATCGGGAAAATTTTCTCAGAATTTTCCGGAAAATTTGCCCGTTGGAAAATCATTCCGAAAGTCGGAATATTCTGGAAAAATCCGGCATTGGGAACGATTTTCTGAAAAAATTTCAATTCCAGCTATTGGAGAGTTCCGGATTTGAAGGATTCTGGCTAACGGAGATATTACTACAGTATAATAACTAAAACAACATAATCAATCCTCTCTAAACTTTGAGCACTGGCACCAAAATGAAAAATTGCGGGAGAATTTTAATGTAAATGTTTAGGTACAGTACAGTACTGTATACTGTATATGGTTATGTATGTGTGAGTTGCATATGGACCAATTTTAGAGAGGAGTCGACTGAAAACAAATATTTTGTTCAAAGTAGATATTTGCTGACTTAGTACAGTACTGTACTCACATACAGTATAATGATTGGTTCCAAAAACCTTAACAGATGAAAGGGAAGGAGGAAGAATAAGTGAAAAAGATAACTTTATTTTTAACACTACAGTTCTACATAAAGATGTACAGTACTGTACCTCCAAGAATTGGATACAGTAACTAAAAGATTGCTCTGAGCTAACACCAGTCAGATTACAACACTAAAAGACTGTAAAACAAGGTCTTCAGCTTTATGTGATCCAATGTGTGTAGTTTATTGTAGGAGTGATACAGACAGCTGCATATAAGTCTTGTGTATTTTGAGGATTTACTTTACCTAAGTAAAAATTAATTTTTAATAAAGGTTATAATTATAGATAAATCTTTTGCAATAATAATGGACAGATTGAAATAAAGTCCTCATCCTTGCATCTTATGCTGTGCCAACATTTCCTTATGTACAATCACCATCCTTAGACATTTTGAGAATATTGTACCTGTGCAGTACAAGTACTGTATATTAAGATTGCAAAGTTACAGTAAAATTACATAAAAATGTACCAAAATTCAAGTTACTGTACTGTATTGGACATAATTCGAATGTCAAATTGTATTTAAAACATAATCAGCTTACATTATTTTTATATAAACTTGAAGATTTAATATTGTAATTTGTTCACAAAATACCATGTTTTATAATTTCTGTGTAATGTTTAGTAAAATGCAGTTAGCTGTGATTAATCATGGAGGGGGATTGATTAAAAATATATATATACGTACTTAAAAAGGAAGAAAAAAAACAGTGAGGAAGGGAGGCAGTGTATTGAGGGTGTGTGTGGTGGTGGGATCTAATGTGACATGGTTGGCTGAACCAAGGGGTATGTCTCAACACAGGCTGCTGATTGGCTGAAGTTCAGCCAATCGGCTAAACACGTTGGTTTAGCTGCTGAACCAAGGTGTTTAGTTCATCCCAGGCTGCTGATTGGCTTGTAGTATGCCAATATGGTGCTTGTTTGAAGTAAGGGAATTTTCTTTACTGCTCTATTCCCCCCCCCCCAGAAAAAAAAAAAATCAAACTAAAGTACTTTGACTCATTTCTTCTCTAGACAGTATTTTTTCATCCTTTCCAGAACTTGGTAAAGGTGGAGGAGACCGTTAGCACCAGAAATAACTTATGGAATTTAACCAAAATTTCTGGAGATACTATTTGCATGATACTGAATACGTAAATGAAAGCAAGACTGCTCAGAACCTATTAGAACTTAACCTAACCTCACCTATAGTATTTCCACGCTAAGATGGCCCGTAAGCCCCACCCCTCGTCTTATTGGTTCCCCTGAGCGTTTTACCTCCCCCAGGACTCCACATAAATAAGAGTGTATTTATATCGACCCTTTATAATAAATATTTTAAATTTTCTAACATCCTCTCTGAAGTGCTTAATGCCTTGAAATGATTTGCATTTTGATAATCCATATATTTAACTATATTTTAGATAATAACAGGTCTGCTTACCAATTGTGAACACATTTAGTTTGAATTTTCTTTGAACCAATCAGCTATTAATATAGAAGAGAGGCATGGCCTATAGGCCAGCTTACATAAGAACATAAGAAAATAAGGAATCTGCAATAGGCCGGTTGGCCTGTGCATGGCAGCTCCTGTCGAGAGTTACTACCACTCTCCATCATCCATGAATCTATCTAGCCTCCTTTTGAAACTTTCCAGAGTTCCCCCACCTACTACAAAGTTGCTAAGCTTGTTTCACTCGTCCACCACCCTATTTGTGAACCAGTTTCTTCCTATCTCCCTCCTAAACCTAAACTTATCCAACTTGAATCCGTTGCTCCGAGTCCTATCCTGCTCGGATATTATAAGAACTTTATCTATATCCCCTTTATTGATTCCTTTCACCCACTTAAATACTTCTATCATATCTCCCCGCACTCTTCGTCTTTCTAGGGAATGCAAGTTAAGTTTCTTTAACCTATCCTGATATGGAAGGTTTCTAAGTCCTGGAATCATTTTTGTCATTCTTCGCTGCACCGACTCTAGTGAATTTATATCCATTCTATAATGGGGGCACCAGAACTGAACCGCATAATCGAGGTGCGGCCTGACTAGCGCAAGATATAGTTGCAATAAGACCTCTGCACTCTTGTTACTTACACTTCTAGATATAAAACCCAATATTCTGTTTGCCTTATTTCGAACATTAACGCACTGTTTTCTAGGCCGTAGGTCCGGGCTTACAAGTACCCCTAGGTCTCTTTCACAAGTCGACTTCTCTAGGTTGATGTTGTTAAGGCTGTATACATAATAAGTATTTGTTCTTCCAATATTAAGTACGCTGCACTTGCTGGTGTTGAATTTCATTTGCCATTTCTCAGACCACCCCTGCAGTTTATTTAGATCCTCCTGTAATGCATTTGCATCCTGCCCTGAATTAATTTGCCGCCCTATTTTGGTGTCATCCGCAAACTTGCTTATGTCACTGCTGATCCCAGTATCTAAATGTTTATGTAGATTATGAACAAGAGTGGGCCTAGTACTGACCCCTGGGGAACCCCACTGGTTACACGGCCCCACTCAGATTTAACACCATCTACGCTGACCCTCTGCTTCTATCGGTGAGCCATGATTTTATCCAATTTAAAACTTTCCCCTCGATACCATGAGCCTTAATTTTTCTCAGAAGCCTCTGATGCGGTACTCTGTCAAATGCTTTGCTAAAGTCTAAGTAAATAACATCGTAATTTTCGTCATTATCTACTACCTCGAAGACTTTCCTAAAAAACGTTAGCAGATTTGTTAGACAAGTTTTTCCCTTTGTAAACCCATGTTGAGAGTCGTAGATTAATTTCCCTTTCTCAAGATGCGATCGGATGCTATCTGCTATAAATGATTCAAGAAATTTCCCCACTACTGACGTCAAACTGATTGGCCGGTAATTTGACGCTGATGCTCTGTCTCCCTTTTTGAAATGGGTACTACATTTGCCTGTTTCCACAAGTCTGGCACAACTCCAGTGTCTAATGATTTTGTAAATAAGTTCCCTACACTCTTTCAAGGCTCGAGGGAAAATTTCATCCGGCCCTGGGGATTTTGTTTTCTTTAGTTTATTTATCTTCTTAAGAACATCCTCTTTTCTGATAGTGATATTCTTTAATTTCCCTTCTTCCTTTCCCTTCTTCCTTTCCCTTAAATATCAGTTCCACCTCTGCTTAGCGAGGAAAGAGTATAACTTCCTAACCTGTGCATTGTCATTTCGATTTCCTTACTGTCATCCAAACAACATTTAGAAAAAAATTAAGGTATTATTGCATTAGTGGGCCCAATTCATTTTCTTAATTAAAAACTAAATTTTCATATAGTTCAGACTATTCTAAGACACTTCTTCTATGGCATTTCCATTGGAAATATATATATTTTTGAGTACAGTGGGGTATGCTATAACGAATCTAATTGGTTCTAGAACCTTGTTCGTTATAGCATTCGTTCGTTATAGGATTAATCCGTTCCAGGCCCCCCAAATACAACCACTTAACACTGAAAAATGTAATATAAAATTGTAAAAATTGTAAAAAAAGTGCATAAATATGCATCTAAACCCCTGAAATAAAGAATATCATTAATATTTGTAATAAAAAACAATAAATTAGTAAAAAAAAAAAAAAAAAAAATTTTATTTTAAATAATGTTCGTTGTAGGAGTTTCATTCGTTATAGCATTCTCAATTTTATAGGTAAAACCGTTCGTTATAGGAATATTCGTAGTAGGATCCGTTCGTTATAGCATACCCCACTGTATTTTAATTGATAAAATTATCAACAATATCACTTGTTTAAAGTGGGCAGGGTTTTGAAGTCGAGGGAAAATGTGGTGCAAAATACTAAAAATAACACCAAATAAACCCAACATACGGTAATGTCAAGAATAAAATGAAATTATATACATAGGTAATTACTATATGTATGTATGTATGAGAGGCAGGAAATATTGGTACAATAATAGAAGAAGTGAGAATTGGTAAAAAAGGAAAACTGTATGTGTAATGTGTACTGAGGAAGATGAAGAATGGTAGGGGTTTGGGAGTTAATAAACAAAAACAAATTCTACTTTTAAGGATTTAGATCAGCACCAAGAGAAAATTAAGATATTGTAGTGGTGTGTAGGTCAATACTAGCATAAAGAAAATAGAATACCTGTAGTTCTCATGTGGGTAAGTGCCTGTACAGTATTTAAGTAAAATAGTTTTCAAGGGACTTTATACATATGAGATTAAACTGAGAGCTGGACTGATGAGAGAAATAATTTAACATCTTGGTTAGTTCATGACTATGCCATCATAAAGGTGCATCTTAAATTGGGCTATGACAACTAGAATAGCCACACTTATTTTATCTAGTGTGATCTGAAATTTATTTTTACAGTAAATGAAAATAAAATAAGCATGTGAGTGGATCAAATAGACACAGCTTAGTAATGCAAACCATTTTGAGGTCAATTAAAAATTTATTGCAGTACACAGCTGTCCAAATTTTTCCACAGTCAGTAATGGTCTCTCGGTATAAATAGATAGAGTACACCCAATAATATCTAGAAGTCTTTCTTAAATCTGGGACACCTAAAAATAATTATTTTTAAGTATGTGTGGCATGTAGCTGATGTGTTCATAACATCAACATAATGTCACAAATACAATCACAAACAGGAAAATTTATCTCAATGACAGCTTTACTGTTTAAGTTAGCAAATAAATCAATTGTCGTTACCATATATATACAGTAGACATAAATGAACCATTCTTATAAAATTTATACATAGTGTACTGTATGCCATTTTTAACACTGAGTTAACCTCATCCACGCTTGGTGGAAAAAGTCTGGTGCAATTAATCCGTTTTATTTTCTTAACCTGCAATTTATACATTCAAGTACAGTAATCTGCAAGGCAAATATATTGATGATGAATTCTGAACAATTTACAAACTCTTCTTATGTAGAGTTTATGCAATGATTTGCTGTACTGTACTGTATTCAATATAAAACCAAATTCATTATGAATGGGTGAAGGATTTTGCAACAATAATGCGTCAAGTACAGTACTGTATAATTAGAATGTACTACAGTACATTGAATGCACCCAACATAAGCACATGGCACCTAAACAGAAGACAAACATTCACGTATAAGAATCACTAAATCAGTTCGGTTTCAGTTCTATGGTAAGCATGGAATTAATACTAAATGTCTTTGTGGTAAACAAAACTAACCCTTGAGCTGTTATTTGTCTTATCTAAGTCCATGAGTTGTTTATCTGATTAAGTGGCAAAGTTTCAAGATTATGTACAGTCCAGTACAAAACATCATATTAAACTTGGAGAATATGGGATTTTACAGGCACAAATTCACAAACACTGACACCCAAGCACAGACAAATATCCAGTAACAAACATAGCTATTACACACACAAGCATACTCTGCCCCTGCTCACCTATTGGGACATACACACACACACACACACATCCTCACAGAGGAACATAACAGAGATACAGTACTGTACAAGAAGACAGAATCATTAGAAATGTGCCTGTTTTAAATACTGTAGGTATTTGTAATTCCACCAAAAACAGTCCAAGGCTCTGTTGTCTGTACAGTACATGTAGAGGTACTTGGAAATGAAATACTGTAGGGTCTTTGGTCATGTGAGCTTATAGTACTGTATTCGGCTACCTGTAGTACCCTTTTTTTTTTTAAGAAGTTAATTATTTGCTCCAAATCTATTATCAGAAGCAATAAATGAGAAAGAGTAAGAGAGACAAGTGACTGTTGGAGAAATGATACATGATATGAAGAGTAAAATGGGGAAATGGCTGTTAAAAAATAATTATCCTCGGTGACGTGACTCCCACCATAATTTCAAAGTTAGATGAGAACTACCCTGGTACAGTACAGTATAACTTTTGCATATAAAGATGGAGAATGATGGTTATTGGGCTAACCTAAATACTCTTGATATGAAGCTGCATACGAAATTTAATTTAAATCTGTGAAATCTTCTTGAGTTATTGAACCGAGAATAGTAACTCAGAGAAGCACACCAAAGCAAAGTTCAAATCACATTATGGAAGACAAGAGGGAGGGACCATGTTGGTGAGAGATGCAAGTGCTGTATGAAGGAATGTGGAAAGCTGCATTATGAGGATTCTCTACACATAAAATTACAGTGACACTGCACTTGTGCTGTTGGTAATTTTAATAGGAGTCTTAAAATCAAATTAAAAGTGCTACCGTACAATATACAGTACAGAATAATGCAAATTATGGCTACCCAGATCTTTAAACTTCATCTGTACTGTACTCAAGTGAGTTAATGTGATCAAACACCTACTTATTCATCCCTTTTTTTCAATAATGCTATACTACATCAAACAGTAAATAGGGCTTCAGTGTCTGAATTTAATTTATCAGAAACACTAAAACTGCTGTGGCTGATGTATTCATGGCACAGTAATTAGGAATCACAAATTGCTATGCCCAAGAACTTGTTAATAACATGTTTTGTAAAATGTAAATAATCAACATTGACACACACCCATGTCCCAACATTTCCATTTACCCTTTTTACAAACTGTAGTTGAAGTGGGCCTTCCTTGCTAAGAAGCTGTCAAGGCTCAACCTTGAGAATCAAATACTGTAGTCCCAAGCTAAGTTCTTGAATGTGTTGTTCGTATGACTCCTTACACAACTCCTACAATATTCTTATATCAGGTTTGAGAACACTTTGTACATATGTTCATTTCATACCATGTATCATACCTGTTGTTAGCTATTCTGTGCATCCTCGATATATATATATATATATATATATATATATATATATATATATATATATATATATATATATATATATATATATATATATATATATATATATATATATATATATATATATATATATATATATAATCTTTGAATACGTGTTAAAAATAAAGGACATTTGTATATTTGGGAAATTTTATTCAGATGAATTTCCTAAACGTATGAACCAAAAAAGAAAAAACTTCTGATGGGTTTTGTATTGATTTTCACACTGTAATTTTTTGTGATGTAAATAGTCAGTATTAACTTAATAACACTTGATATGCTATTTAAAATGTCAAGAAATTTTATATTATTACAAGTAAAATCAGTGTTACACTAACAGCAGTGTATAGTTTATGCACTGTAATACAGTATTGTACTGTACTGTTGGTGTTCTGGATGCCACTTCCCAGGAACAAAAATATCACCATTATTACTCATTACCCGTAGCCAAAAAATAATATACGCATTCTGATAACGGAAGGGAACTGTTACATATTAACGCATTTTACGGCATATAAGACACTTAATTGTTGCGGTATCCCGTGAGCTAATGAATCCTCCCAGTTGCTGTCTCCAATAGGCTAAATTCTACCTAACAAAACTCCAGAATTAAAAATCTGCTATTGCTTACTTAAACATATTATTATTATTATATTTAATTAAAAACATTTTGTATTGTAATTATAAAAGCTCGATTTATAACTATACTGTGATGATACCCTGAGACGATTAACGTCCATATGGCAGACACCCAACTCTTCAGAGGTAGCTAAGCAGTAACTATTTCTGCTACAAGCATTACACTCTATTAATGCCATACCTGAAACATTTATTTTTAGATCTACAAATACAGGTAGTCATGCTATAACGCGATAATTGTGTTCTTGTAAAATATCGTGTTATAGAAAATCACGTAATAGAAATAACAGGGCTTATGGAGAAAATAGGGTTAGGTGCAGATTACTCGAAATCGAAAAAATTTAGTAGTTAGCCTAACACAAAGGATAGCACAGTCTAAATAAATGTTACATTCATATCTAATAATGAAATCATACAGTAAATGTAACACTTTACTTGATGGGGGAGAAGGGTGATTTTGAGGTTGATAAAATCGAGCTTCTCTTCAAGTGTTATATCCTTTCTTTTACGATCATCACCGGGAATTCTATCACCAGAACGCTTCTTGTTGATATTCTCCTTTACTATATTCACAGTTAATACCACAAAATTGGAGAAATAGTAAGCAAAAATCGTGTTATAGCAAACAAGCGTTCGCGTTATACAAATATCGTTCCTAATTCATAAATCGCGTTAGAGCAAATTCGCGTTATCAAAACGCGTTATAGCAGAACTCACTGTACTTGATAAAAATGAAGATTTACAAATAACTTTCTTTTCACTTTTGCATCTGTTAACATCGCTGGCAGCACTGTAGCCAAGTTAGACTCATCACTGTAACCACCAGGATACTGGGCCAAACTGTGTGGTATTATGGTTGTTTTTCATCTCGTATTTTTGGGTAGATATACGTAACTTTCTTCATTTATTTTTACTCAGTTACATGCACACACCATCCTAAATACATATTGTGAAAAAAGTAAACAAAATAATTGTCATAAAGGGAATATGTGTACATTTCTTTGCACACGGGTTAGCTGGCTCAGTGGGGGAGCAGGAGGCGGTGTGTGGGGGGGAGGGGGAGCGTTGCTAGGGAATAGGCGAAGGTAACGTTTCTATTGCGATGGTGAACCAGGGAGTACAGTACAGTACGTATATGCAAATGGCAATTGCGTTAAACTTTCATTTGGCTTTTATTTACTGGTTTGGCAATACTGTACATGTACGGTACAGTTTTTTTGGGTAACTTATTTATTGGCATTACAGTATTTGTGTTTATCTTCACATTTACTGGTTCTATATATATATTATTTTAAGAAACTGTGGCTATTGGAGAAAAATCCACACAAAAGTTTTTTCATAAATACTCCCTGTTAAAATGGGGGGAACGTCTTATATAGTCGTGCGTCTTATATGCCGTAAAATACAGCATGCCCTTAAAATTTGCGGGGGTTTGGGTCTCAATATGGCTGTGAATAGCCAAATCCGCAAATATCATTTGCTGATCGGGGTTGGGGGGGGGGCACATTTTTACTCGAGTGCAAAGAAATATATACAGTACATATTCCCTTTATGTGTTTGCCCTTAGGACAATTATTTCTTTTACCTGTACTGTATGTGTGTATAAACACACACACACACACAAAACACATACAAATAAATAATAATGAGAAAATCCTCTCACAAATAATGTGAGTCTACCCTCAAGTCAACCCCATGCTTTTCTATTAAAGTTGGCTTGGTTGGGTTGCCATATATCATTTTTTTTCCTCATAAAAATTAATGTCTCTAGAACGAATGGCATCCAAGCGCCAGCTGGGTTGATAAGTACGGCTGCTCCCCGACTTACGACGGGGTTAGGGACCGACATCCAGGTCGTAAGTCGAAATGGTCGTAAGTCGGAAATGATTAAATAATACATAGAGAATAAAAAATGGGAGTTTCTTTTTCTTCTCAGCACCACAAAACACTCGCTTTTAAGCTTACCAGCCATTTTAAAATGAATTACAGATGAAAATTTTGTCTGTGTACTGACTTTGGGACTTGAAAATACGTAATTTGACCAAATTTTGGTAAAACTGAGGCAGGTCGTAAGTGCAGGTGGACGTAAGTCAAGTAGGTCGCAAGTTGGGGATGAGCTGTAGATCAAACTTACAGAATTTCTTTCATAGCCATATTGCCAACCCAACATGAAGGATGTCAGTAATTGCGGTGTACTGTAATACTGTATACATACTTCTTTCATAATATGTATGTAGGATGGTGTGTGCATGTAACTGAGTAAAAATAAATGAAGAAGGTTATGTATATCTACCCAAAAATACGAGTTGAAAAAATCTATAACACCTCACAGCTTGGCCCAGTAGCCTGGTGGTTACAATGATGAGCTAACCTAGCTACAATGCCATGTTAATCCCTGTTAAGCCCTTTTCTATCAATAAACACTATTAATAACAGTAAATCCAGTTAAATATGGCAAGGAGTGAGGAGAGTCAACAGCAGACGACACGCTAAATAATAAACGCAGTCACTCGCTTCCCTTACTGCTCCCGTTGTCAGGCGTACGTATGGGAGAAAAACATATTTTGTAGTCTACTATGAAAATGGTACGGGCTCAGTGATAAAAAAATTATATAAACTATTCATTTTCCTACGATAACATAATAATAAACATTGTATCATTACCAGAGTTGATGAATTAATATTCCCACAAACAAAAATTGACAACTCTTTATAAAAAACATAGATTAACACTCACCAGTCCATGCTGGATGATTGTGTAGAGCCCGTTTTCCTCTCCCCTGCCACTGATGAATATCATGATGAAAATGGTGAAATATGATGGATGATGATGAAGGTAGAGGAGATACAAGTTCTCACCTGCTTTGGAAGAAGAGGCAGAGGAGAGCTAGGAGTGGCAGGAGGAGGGTCATCCATATTGGAGTCAGAGTCAGGAGGAGGAGGAACATGAACAGGAGGCTGAGGCTTTCTTGCAAGTGTAGGTGTAGGGCTTTGAGTGGACGAAGGCAAGAAGAACATGGAGATTGGAGGTTGGGCAGCCTGCCGCTTGAGTTCCTTTAGTATTTCCTTATAAGGAGCCACGAGCTTCTCCATCCCTCTCTTGAAGTTGAAAGATCTCTCGATAGAGGGATCAATGTAAAAAAAAAAATAGTCCACGGCTGCCCTACAAGACAGCAAGCCCTTATTGAGGTTCGTGAAGGTTAAGGTGAGTACCTCCTCCACTTCACCTTCTTCCTCCTCCTCATCCTCACGACTCTGCTTCTCGGCAAGCTTGGCCAGCTCTTCCTCATCATGACCCAGGAACTCCTCTTGCACCTCTTCCTCCTGAGGATTGTTGAACCCCTCACCTCCCACTTGACGGGTAAGCTGGATGATGTGGTGCACATCCTGGTCGATTGTGGAGAAGCCAGCAAAGCCATTCACCACCTCTGGCCACAAGGCCCTCAAGCATGAGTTAACACAGAGTTGTCAGGTCATCATGGCACTGCTTGATGAAGGAGATGCAAACTGTGATGGAGAACTTTTTCCACATTTCCCACACTGACTCAGCACCATCCAGTGTATCGTTGTCCAAGGCTGGGTCATGTACTTGGCCTTGAAGACAGCAATGACTCCCTGGTCAAATGGTTGGAGCAATGATGATGTCTTCTCGGGCAGAAAGTTCACCTCGACATTTTTGTTTGCAACCTTGAGGGCCTCGGGGTGGCCAGCGCAGTTTTCAATCATGAGAAGGACCTTAAACTCCAGGCCTTTCTCCTACAGGTAATCCTTGACCTCCCTCACAAAACATTTGTGAAACCAGTCGGTGAACACCTTGCAGGGATGCCATAAAACTCAATTGCTCCCTGTCCTGGTAGCGAATAATCGAGGGCCACAAATTAAAAATCCGCGAATTGTAAGGACATGCGGTATGGTAACTTCTCAACTGTGAGTTAAATTGGGTAAAGTGTGCAAGTTAATTCCTAATATTATAGCTGTACTATAATGAAGGGAGAATGTGTTAATAAAATTTTTGCATTAATGAACATAAGTGAAGAGTTTTTGTATAAGGGGAAAGATTTGCATGATATTCAAGGATTTAAATAATTATATCATAGAGTAGATAGAGATGTGACATTGAAAGTATATATGGTACAAGCATCTTGGAGACTGTTGAAAGCTGCTCTACTGTACTACCATGACTTTTTATGGGGAAAGTGTAAACGTATTCCTGGGCCTCAAAAAATCTTGCAAATTAAATATAAGGGCTTTTACAACTCCAAAATGATGAGCCCACACAAACAATCATTTGTCCCTCTAAAACCCTCAGCAACAAGTTTTACATTGCCTTACTTTGCATTTATTCTGTGATGGTTGACTAGTGTATAAGAATTTTAATTTTCAACTGAAATACGGTCAAACTGGCGAGTCTGTAAGAACCCTTCATTCTCTATCAAAGGTTTGCTCAAAATTAATACTACAAGAGAGAACACCGAGTGACTGTCCTGTACTAATTAAACATAATGGAGACCACACACACACACATGAAAAAACACATCACATAAATATACTGATGATAAGATTGTAAAGAGGAGCAGACAGTACTCAGGAGACCAGGGTAAATAACTGAAGTAAATCATGTGCAGTACTGTACAAGAGGAACTTCTTTTTCTTTTTTTTACAGGTATTAGCCCATCCAAGCACAGGTCACTGACCCACATCAGGGTCTGGGGGGCAAAAATATAATAATACAGGTAATAATAATAATAATTATTATTATTACTGTATTATTATAATTAATAATAATTAATAAAAATTGATCAAAATTAAAAAAAAAAAAAATAATAATAATAACAACAACAACCATAAATAAATATATAAATGAAAAATAAATCAAGAGCGAGAAACGATATACTGTACATTATGTATGTTGTGTTGTCAAAGTAAGATAAACAATTGAGACCCTGCAATTGTGTGTAAATGAGGCAGAAAGTCAGATGAGCAACCTGGGACTTTGTCACAATTTTTGTGATGCCATATGGCAGCAGGGTCCACCATTAGACAACATACTGTATTATGCTTCCAATACCTTCCTACTACCTACTGAATGACAACCTATCTTTTAGAACACCTATGAACAGTGCAAAGATTTAGGAGTGTTCAGGGGCACCAACATTAAATATGTATAGAAAGTAAAATAAAAAATCAAACTTCTTTACATTTATTTTTATTACATCACTGACGAGTTAGATTTTCTGCTGTTGTAGATACAGTAGTTAGCAATCTTGGAGAGAGGGGTGGGTGTATATAAGCGTGTGGGTGTGTTACTAAAATTAAGTAGTGTGGAGCTCATGGCCATATTATTAAAGGTCAAAAGTGGGGCTCATAACTGTATCCCCGTGGGAGGTCATGGGTTTCCCCACATTTGTTGACATTATAATTATAATTGAAGTCTCCCGCCCAGGCAGCTTGTTGCAGGATCTGTTGGTGCGGTTGCAAGAATGGGGAGACATTAATATCTACATATACAGTTGGTATGCCCGACGCTCATTTACTTTTACCTTTATCCTCTTCGCCACCAATTGGCTCGTTAGCCGCTTGGGCAGTCAGTCACATCTCTTGATACACACTTTGGCAAGTACTAGTCAAGCACTGGCTTCTGAATGTATCTGAACCTGCTCCAGTGTTGGTCAAGTCTGACAGGTTGTTCCAAGAGTTCACAATTCTCACTCCAAAAAAGTTGGCTTTCACAGTTTTCTGGACTTGTGGCTTTTTCAACTTTGAGCTGTCCTTTGTGGGGCAGGTATCGGCCAGCTCCAGGTATGGACACTCAACTGAGTAGTACCCTTCAAGATGTTTATATACCTCAATTAGGTCACCCCTTGCCCGTCTGTAGCATAAGCTAGGCAGTTGCAGGGGCTCTAATCTCTCTGCATAACTGAAGTGTCAAAGTGCAGGCACCAGTCTGGTGGCCCTCCTTTGGACATTTTCAATCGACTGACAGTCTCTGGCATATCTCGGGTATCAGAAGGGTATCCCAGGCAGGGAAGCACCTCTAAGATTGTTAAGAGGAATGGACTGTCTAAATATCTGAACAACCTTCTTATAAGACCTACTACAGTCAACCCTCACTTTAAGCGGTTAATATAACTCACAGGGTACTGCGGAAAGTGAGAAACGCATAAAGTGAATAACATAACATATGGGATTAATTGAAATAGAGACCGGGTCGACCCCCAAACTCCACTTTTTGATGACACACAACTATGTTGTAGTAAAAATTTTATCTTAACTTTATGTATGGTATGCACACACAATTAATAATTAAGAGAAATATCAATAATTTTAGGTTTTTTAACACTTACATTAGTAGAAAAGATGGCTCGGCACACGGGGATGGGGCGTTGATTCCGAGGCAGAGGGCAGATTATTGGCCCTCACCTGTATCACTTGTATCAATTGTATCACTAGCCACCACAGAGGCTTGCAGGGCCTCTTTGTCAAACCCCTCAAAGTCCATATAAGTCCATATCCTCACTATAATTATCACTATCACTGACTTGGGCCGGCTGTGGTGGGTGGCGGGTGAAGAACTCGGTAATGTTTTGATGACTGGGTGACCTTGTGCGCACCATGCTCACGCCGCTTACATAACATGGCGGGAGAGATGGCGGGAGGTTTAGATCCAAAAAATGGCGCGGCTCGCCAGCCGCTCTCCGCGTAAAGGGGTACACGCACCGCGGAATGTGAGCATTCCTGTTTCGGCAGGGTACCGCGTAAAGCGAGGGTTGACTGTAGTTTAGTTGCTTGATTCACCTTCTTCTCACAATAGCCGAAGAACCACAGGTCATTGTCAACATACACACCCTGGTCCTTTTCACATTCAGTCGCTATTAATGCAGTTTCTTCTTCCTGTTGGTACGACCCAGGTACGTACATCCTTTTACACATTGTGACAATGAATCTTAGCAGCCATTTCATAAGACATTCTTGAAGCTCACAAGAGATATTTCTGCAGTTCTTCGCAGTCTTTGGTTTTAATTTCCCTGAATAACTTGGCATCATCCGCAAACATTTGTATGGAGGAGTGTATAGTTTCTGGCATATAATTTATGACACAAACAAACAACAATGGGTCCAATACACTGCCCTGTGGTAACCCGCTTGTCACGGGTACACATGACGATTTCATACCATTAATCACCATACACTGCTTGCAATCATGCAGAAAGTTTCCAATCCATGCCAGGACACTTTCCCGAATCCTGTACCCTTCCAGTTTAATTTTCAGCCTTTCATGGGGTACGCTGTCGAAAACCTTGGCGAAATCTAGATATATATTGTCGATATTGCCACCCTGCTCCAGAATTTGTGTCCAAACATCCAGTACCTTGAGTAATTGTGTGAAACAGGAGCATCTTGGCATAAAACCATGTTGGCAGTCCTTCACAAGGTTGTTCAATAGTATCTGTTCACATCATGGCATGTCTTATAATGCTCTCAAGTATACTTTACACACAATACTGATCAGACTCACTGGTCTATAGTTATTCATAGTGATGATCCCCCTTCTTGAATATAGGACTCACATTAGCCATTTTCCAATCACTAGAGTAGAGACCTTTTGCTCATCCAGGCATTTACAGAACAGGATCTTCAGGGGCTTCTTCAGGAGCTTAGCAAGCTTGTTGCACAACTCTCTTATCACTCTGGGATGCACCATGTCAGGGCCGAGACTCCTATGAACCATTTGCATTGACAATTTATTTCTTGTACCCTCTTCTGAGAACATAATGTGGGTCAACACTGTCAAACCGTCTGCCCTTAAACGTAGGAAGATTGAATATCACATCCTCTCTTGTGAACACCGAGGAAAAGAGTCTGTTCAACGCCTCCGCCCTGTCCTGGTCAGAATCTGCATAACTACCACGGAAATTTTTCTCAGAAGTTCCAGAAATTGCACATTACACCATCTCTCAAACCCGGAAAAACTCCCCCATCCTCGGAATTTTCCAGAAAATTTCAATTCTGGCTCTCGGAGAGTTCCAGTTAAGAGGGATTCCAGCTAACGGAAATATTAATGTATGTCTGATTTTCATTATAAGGTCATATAATAATAATATACTAATAACAATACAGTAATAAAAATAATAATAATAAAAAACAGTATGTCCCCATTGAACGTTAATCCCCAATATAACGAAAGCAAGTTTTTACTACCCATTTGCCGATTAACGAAAGAATGTTCTACTATTACGAAAAGTAAGTCACCCCCACCTTTCTGCTTTCTCACCACCAGCTCCATGATCACCACCATCACCACCACTACTTCTATTATCATCACCTAAATCATTTCACCTTCCTCCCTCCCTCCCACCCACTGCGTCACACCGACACTCTGCCCGTCACTCATTCTACTATGACTGCCATTCATGATAGTACAATATTGTACAGTATTGTACATTGTTTATTAATTCTCACTCCATAATTTAAAATTTATCCAACGTAATGTAGAAGGAATAAGGCGTTGTTCATTTATACTTACACTCAATTTTGTGGGTAGACATCAGCTGTTCAATTGTGTCTGGCAGTGGTGCAGCCAGTGTTACCAAACAAACCGATTGACTCAGCATCTCCTCGTGACTTACCACAATCTCCCTGTCCACCACCAGCCCCATAATCACCAATACCTCTATTATCACCACCTAAATCACAATTTCAGTGATGCAGAGATGGATTTGTTTTAGCCAAAGCAGACCAGCACAACATCTACTGCCTCCCACCCACTTCCCACCTTCCTGCAACTCACCGATACTCTGCCTCTCTCACTCATTTTACCATGACTGTCATTCATGATACATTATTGTACAACAAAAAATACTGTATTGCTAAAAAGGAAATAAATGCCAAATGAAAGTTTAGCACAGTTGTCATTTGCATACATTCCCTGGCACCTACCAGCTGGTAGGTGCCTCCCCTGTCTCCCTAGCAATGCCCCCACTCTACACTCTGTGTCCTCTTTCCCTCCCTCACTGAGCCAGATAACTCATGTGCAACGAGATGTATATTCCCTTTATGTCTTTGCCCTTAGGATAATCATTTCTTTTACTTTTGTCACAATATGTATGTAGGATGGTCTGTGCATGTAACTGAGTAAAAATAAATTAAGAAAGTTACGTATATCTATCCGAACATACGAGTTGAAAACAACCATAACACCTCACAGTGACGAGTCTAACCTGACTACATTGCCATGATTAATCATTATTCTATCAGTAAACACTAATAATAAGAGTAAATCCAGTGAAATATGGCAGGGAGCGAGGAGAGTTACAACTGCAAATGACAAATGACACTCAACTAGGGGTCACTCACTCCCGTTGTCAGGTGTACGTATGGGAGAAATACAGAATACATATCTTGTATATAGTCTAATTTGAAAATGGTGACAGGCTCAGTGATAAACAAATTATGTAAATGATCCATTACTAGTGAATGAATTAATATTCCCACAAACAATTGACAACTCTGTTTATGTACCTTTATGTTTCACGTTTTATTTTTTTATCTACAGTACGGGTATTTTGAAGTGTTGCAATTAGTCACAGAGCTTAGTACAGTATATTATTCTATCACAGAGCTTAGTACAGGAACACATGCCCCCTTTTACATGAGTTTATAAGGAGAAAAATGGTTTTGATGAACGTAATCCACCTAACAAAAGTGTTTTAATGGAACCTAACCCTTTTGTTCAACAGGGACTTGCTGTAATAATAATAATAATAATAATAACAAAAACTACTAGTATTTACACATAAATTGCTGCTGAATTTGTCTTATTGATCATCTAATTATTATTACTTTTAACCAAGTTGGAAACTCCAACAGTTTGTAAAATTGCCCTTGGAAATGTTATCATTATTCTTGACATGTTCTGGCTAAGGTTCATTAAGCTTAATAAGATACTCTGTTTCATCCTGCACATCATCAAAACATGCCAGCTATCATATAATAATTATTATAATATACAAATATGTTCAATATTTCATCGTTGGTTTCAATTTAAAATAAAATCATTTCCAGAATTGTCCATCAGCTTACGGTGTGGTGGCCAAACAATGTTTACATCTTCCCAATTTCTGGAGGGTAAATTTGTGTTCATAAAATAATAATAATAACAATAAATTGCCCAATACAGTGCTAAGGGATTCCACATATTTTTTGTACACTTACATCAGTTTCATATTTCTTGAATAACTTTTCATTTTACTATATTTATATTTCATGGAATTAGTGCAAAAATACAAAGCGGGATCTTGGTCAGGGTACACTTGCACTCCCTGCACTTATCCCCACATTTTCCAATACCATTCCGGGGGCGACGAAATAATCTTTAATTATAGCTCAGAGGTCGGGGATGTTGGAACGGGTTCCGCTTTCGTCTTTAAATAATATGGCCTACAAAGGGCCCTCACAGACCTAAATCTGGCACTGTCTATAATCTTGGAAGACCTCCAACTATGAATACAATACTAACCCACAAACCATTTCTTAGTTTCTGAAGACAGTTACAATATAAAGTCATCCTATATATGTACAGTAAAATCATCCTAACGTATCTGGCAACTTCCCATATACAGTATCAGGCAGTAATACACATACAGTAAACCCTCGATAACTCAGCATTTGATAACTCGGAATTTCATATAACTCGACATGGACGTGGTCTCGGAATGTATTACTGTATAGTATAACTCGGGAAATGCCGAGATATATAAAATTATCTGGGAAAATCTCGGCATATTTGGCCACCTGCGTCTCCTACCATGCCTCTTGTCACCTACCTTGCCTTTGTGTCACCTACTATATCTCTGTCACCTACTATGCATCTGTGTCATGCTACTATGATGCTTCATTCTTTGTCTGCAGTGCTGGTAAGAGTTATCTTTTTACATTTAGTAATTACATGTACACATGCAGTATATGGTTCAATAATTTTTCATTGTTGTATTTTTGTAGGAGGGGGGGAAGTGCCTCGATAAGTCGGAATTTGGGATAACTTGGCAAGGCTAATGTGCCGAGTTATCGAGGGTTTACTGTTCCTACTGTTCAGTCCAAACATCAGTTATTACTGTTTAGATGAAAACAAAATATTTTTTGTCACCTTGTATGAAAAACTGCTTAACTACATTAAATTATAAACTCTGCCAGCACAGAAAACTGGAGAATGGGAAATTAGTCTTACTATTAATAGCAGACCAGTTTCTAATGAACAGCATTATAAGCAATAGTCTTATAAATACTATCATGACTTGTTTCATTATCAGGCAAAATAAACAATCCTTTGGAAAAATTTCTAGGGTTGTATCACATAAATACAGTAGATGTGAAAAAAATCATAATTAAACAAAAATAGGGATAGCATTCTACACACAGTTTTGTCTATCCTACTATAACAGTTACTTCCTCAGCAATCTTTTACAATTTGACTTTAAATTTCAATATTAACGACCTTTTCCAAAAAATAAAATGTCAATCAGGGAATCAATTATTCAGTACATAGTGCTTGTTCTAAGTCTTTCATACTAACTTCTTCAATATTAGTTTTGACAGAGTTAGCAGGACGCATCTTCTGGTGCCAGTGAGTACCACCACCTCTTTTATGTCCTCTTCTGCCTCGATTCCCACGAACAAATCCTCTAGTAACTCCAACACCAAATGATACACAATTAGGGATTTTATTTGTAAGTTTTCTTCTGTTACTGACATCAGCATTAATATTATTTTCATTGGTTGCAACATTTTCAGGTAATGTTTGTTCTTGAGCATTTGTATCTGCTGGACCTGTTGCTTCACAATCCATAGCTACCGGTACTTCCTTTTGGCTCATTCCACCTCTTTTTTTGCTCTTTTCTGACTTCCTCCATGTCATGTCAAAGCGGAAGTCTTTAGGGTACTTGTGTATGCTTATACAGTGAGTCTTCCTCTCTGCAGGACTGCTGAACTTCTCAGAACAAGTTTCCAAGAAGCACTGATACTGCACGGGGAATGATTTAAACATTAAATGATTAAACATTTCACACCACTGCCCTCCTCAACTTATCTTTTATTTAATTCTTCAATTTCACTTTCCTTAACTATCACACATCGCTGCATCTTGTATTATTTACACGCCCTATGTATAAACAGTCAGCACTATTTACAAGAATAATAAATCTGGCTGTACAAATAAGCGAAAGTAAAATAAATTCAAATAAGGGATAGAAAAACAATATTCATTCTATTTTTAAGACTAATGAGTAATGAGTCACACTGTGGAGGAGAAGCATATCATTGACTGGGAGGAAGAAGTATATGATTGACTGGGAGGAAGAAGTATATGATTGACTGGGAGGAAGAGGTATATGATTGACTGGGAGGAAGAAGCATATAATTGACTGGGAGGAAGAAGTATATGATTGACTGGGAGGAAGAGGTATATGATTGACTGGGAGGAAGAAACATATGATTGACTTGGAGGAAGAAGCATATCATTGACTGGGAGGAAGAAGTATATGATTGACTGGGAGGAAAAAGTACTATATGATTGACTGGGAGGAAGAAGTATATAATTGACTGGGAGGAAGAAACATATCATTGACTGGGAGGAAGAAGCATATCATTGACTGGGAGGAAGAAATATATGATTGACTGGGAGGAAGAAGCATATAATTGACTGGGAGGAAGAAACATATCATTGACTGGGAGGAAGAAGTATATAATTGACTGGGAGGAAGAAACATGTCATTGACTGGGAGGAAGAAATATATGATTGACTGGGAGGAAGAAGTATATGATTGACTGGGAGGAAGAAATATATGATTGACTGGGAGGAAGAAGTATATAATTGACTGGGAGGAAGAAGCATATCATTGACTGGGAGGAAGAAATATATGATTGACTGGGAGGAAGAAGTATATGATTGACTGGGAGGAAGAAATATATGATTGACTGGGAGGAAGAAGTATATAATTGACTGGGAGGAAGAAGCATATCATTGACTGGGAGGAAGAAATATATGATTGACTGGGAGGAAGAAGTATATGATTGACTGGGAGGAAGAAATATATGATTGACTGGGAGGAAGAAGTATATAATTGACTGGGAGGAAGAAGCATATCATTGACTGGGAGGAAGAAATATATGATTGACTGGGAGGAAGAAGTATATGATTGACTGGGAGGAAGAAATATATGATTGACTGGGAGGAAGAAGTATATAATTGACTGGGAGGAAGAAGCATATCATTGACTGGGAGGAAGAAATATATGATTGACTGGGAGGAAGAAGTATATGATTGACTGGGAGGAAGAAGCATATGATTGACTGGGAGGAAGAAGTATATAATTGACTGGGAGGATGAAGTATATGATTGACTGGGAGGAAGAAATATATGATTGACTGGGGAAGAAGTATATAATTGACGGAGGAAGAAGCATATCATTGACTATCATTGACTGGGAGGAAGAAACATATCATTGACTGGGAGGAAGAAGCATATCATTGACTGGGAGGAAGAAGTATATGATTGACTGGGAGGAAGAAACATATATTGACTGGGAGGATTCATTGACTGGGAGGAAGAAACATGTCATTGACTGGGAGGAAGAAACATATATTGACTGGGAGGAAGAAGTATATGATTGACTGGGAGGAAGAAACATATCATTGACTGGGAGGAAGAAACATGTCATTGACTGGGAGGAAGAAACATTCATTGACTGGGAGGAAGAAGTATTGACTGGCATATATGATTGACTGGGAGGAAGAAGTATATAATTGACTGGGAGGAAGAAACATATCATTGACTGGGAGGAAGAAACATATCATTGACTGGGAGGAAGAAGCATATCATTGACTGGGAGGAAGAAACATATCATTGACTGGGAGGAAGAAACATATCATTGACTGGGAGGAAGAAGTATATGATTGACTGGGAGGAAGAAACATATCATTGACTGGGAGGAAGAAACATATCATTGACTGGGAGGAAGAAGCATATCATTGACTGGGAGGAAGAAGCATATCATTGACTGGGAGGAAGAAGCATATCATTGACTGGGAGGAAGAAGTATATGATTGACTGGGAGGAAGAAGCATATCATTGACTGGGAGGAAGAAGCATATCATTGACTGGGAGGAAGAAACATATCATTGACTGGGAGGAAGAAACATATCATTGACTGGGAGGAAGAAACATATCATTGACTGGGAGGAAGAAACATATCATTGACTGGGAGGAAGAAGCATATGATTGACTGGGAGGAAGAAGCATATCATTGACTGGGAGGAAGAAACATATCATTGACTGGGAGGAAGAAACATATCATTGACTGGGAGGAAGAAGTATATGATTGACTGGGAGGAAGAAGTATATGAATGACTTGGAGGAAGAAGCATATAGTTGTCTGGGAAGACAAGTATCATAATTATAATGCTGCGAGAATAAGGCTCAGTTGATGTTAATGTAGGAGTCATATAAAAAATAAAGACATGATACTCACCATGGGCTTTCTTGTTGCCATAAGCTGAAAGAGTGTGTCATGAACTTCTAAGAGATGGAGGTCAAGTAGGTGATGTGCTGGAAGAGATTGCTTGCACATGGAACAGACATGGGTGTGACAGGCACGCTGGTGACTTGCATGTTCAGCTACTGTTGTGAAAGATTTATTACACCCCATGGCACTGCATTTTATTACATTAACCCTGTAACAGAAGGGGAAACTATAAATTAAATTTACTGTGAACATAATTATTGCATCCAAATACCTGTTCACACAATGGTGCTCTGATGGTGACAGTGTTGCCAAGGACCCTAGCAAATTTATCTTTAGAAAAAAAAAAAAAAAAAACATTCTACTCATTAGTCATGATGACTACAGTATATACCTTGCAGGGACAAAGTGTTTTCATGAAAAACATGGAAACAAATCAAGATTTTGGATGGCATACAACCCTACACAGGCAATATGGTAAGTTGATTTTAATTTTTGGTCATTTCTTTAGTTATTTATGCACAGTACTGTACATGCATCTCATATTTTTTCAAGTTTAATTTGCTATAATTTGGACTTTGGTTTTTCATGTCATACAGTTGCACTTGGATGGGGGGGCGGGGGGAGGTGTGCCCCTAGTGTAACTAGTATAAGGAAGGGATTGAAACAATTACTGGAAGTGAAATAAAGTATTGCTAGAACACAACTGTTTCAAAAATACAATATTTTTAATTTAAATTGTTTGAGAACAAGTTCCAATAAAACACAAACATTATAAAATACTGTATGTATTTTGTCAGTAAATATATGCACTAACCTCACTAGAATTTTCAATATTCCCTCCTTAAATTACAGTACAAATTAACCACATGTTACGCCCTTATACAGTAAATTCTTCTAACAAAAGCCCATATACATTATCAAATTACAGTAGGTATTCATAAAATAGGATACAGGTATTATATTAAAATTTCACCTCTTAGCAATATGATTCACCAGTCTCAACACAGGGTTTCAAATTAATACACTTGCAAAGTTTTCCAAATGTTTACATATTCATTTCCTTAATATTGGTTGTGATAGAGCAGACTACACTATATTTCCAGTACAGTACCTGCAATGCAGAAATTCCTCCTCATCCAAGTCAACAGAGGGAATTTTCCTCAAAGGGCAGCAAACATTAAGTCCCTCAACAAAGATGGGGTCACTCCAGGCTCGATGGTGTACTCCCAGTGTTGCCAGGTAGTTCCAGGAATCACTTGTCCCCATACTGAAACAATTAACACTGGTAAGAGATACAGTACATGAAAAAAAAATAGTAGTACAGAGTACTCATAAGTACAGCTCTGACCACATTCTTCCATGTGTGCTTGCAATCAATAGGATATAGTATGGAACACTGACTTGTGAGAAGGAGCAACTGCAGAAAAAATTTCCACAGAAGAAAACTTTTATTTCTAGAATAACCCCAAAAAGTGGAGTACAGGTAATTCCCACTTTCTAACTTTAATTTTCCCTAGTTTGTGTGCTGTCATCCCATTTGGACGATTCCCACTTGGACAATCATCTGTTTTATGCAATTTCTACCTTCTTAGTTAAATGATAAAGTTAGGTTAGGTTAAATCTCATAAAACAGACGTTTGTCCAAGTGGGACGTAATCATTTGTCTTTGGAGTAAACACAGCCCGTGCACATATGAACGCCATACTTTTGCTTCTATTGACAAATGCTTCTAAGTGTCCAATTAAATGTTGAATGACCTAATGCTTCCCAGTGACCAGCTAAATGCTGAGTGACCAAAGTAAAAGCTTTCTTCTATAGAAATTTTTCTCATTGCTCCTTGTCGTGATTTGGATTTCTAGACTACTAAATATGTATTACCAAATCAGTGTAAACTTATGTGTATGTTGACAATAAACTAAAGTTCTCAGGCTATTGTGAGAAGAAGGTGAACCAAGCAACTAAACTAGTAGGTCTTATAAGAAGATCATTCAGATTTCTAGATGGTTTGTCCCTTGAAACAATCTTCATGAGTGAGGTGTTTTCCCGCCTGGAGTACTGTCACCCCACCCTGTCTGGTCCCTGAGATGTTAGAAACTGTCAGTTGATTGAAAATGTTCAAAGGAGGGCCACCAGACTGTTGCCTGCACTATGGCACCTCAGTGACCCAGAAAGATTAGAATGCCTGCAACTGCCTAGCTTAAACTATAGATGGGCAAGGGGTGAACTAATTGAAGTTTATCAACATCTCAGAGGGCACTTTATCCTTGGCCACCAAAGGGTCAAGACATACCTGGCGCTGCTCTGGCAGCAGCCAGGTCAACTGTTATGTTGGCCCATACCAACTCCCTCACCTGAACCCCTCCTCCCCACCGGAATATCAACAAGTTCTCTGCTTAAGTCAGTGAAAAACAACTCGACAGTAACAGCTGAGTTGTACCCAAGCTAACCTTCACACAGTGAAGTCCCAGGTACCCAGTGATAACTGCCCGTGAGACTCAACAACACCAGCTATGTGTTAATCCGTCTCCGATAGAGAGGCCTGGGACACCAGACCACGTAGTGTCCCCATGATGCTACGACACCACGTAGTGATGAGTTGCTACAGCATCATGTGAGGTTCCTCATAACACCATCTGTGAGGGAATTACTACACCACATCAGGCCCTCATAACACCATCTGTGAGGGAATTACTACACCACATCAGGCCCCTCATAACACCATCTGTGAGGGAATTACTACACCAAGTCAAGCCCCTCATAACACCATCTGTGAGGGAATTACTACACCATGCGAGGCCCCTCATAACACCATTTGTGAGGAAATTACTGCACCATGTGAGGCCCCTCATAATACCATCTGTGAGGGAATTACTACACCATGTGAGGCCCCTCATAACGCCATCTGTGAGGGAATTACTACACCACCTCAAGCCCCTCATAACACCACCTGTGAGGGAACTACTACACCACGTGATGCCCCTCATAACACCATCTGTGAGGGAGTTACTACACTACGTGTCTGCTGTTCAACAACTCAGAGCACAAGATCTACGTGACCTCCGCTGTAAATATTAATCTGTATGTTCACTTACGGTATGTTCCTTTACCTTTCTCTAATGAAGGCTTTTGTTAAACCACCAATGTCAATGTATGTAATAAGTCATCTATGTCCAATGTATATTTTCAGCCTTCGGGCTGCAGAACTTTCTCAATAAACCGTTAATTATTATTATTATTATTAATCAGTCGAGTGTCCATACCTGTAGCTGGCTGACGCCTGTCCCACAATGGGTCACGGCTCAGGACTGAAGAAGCCAGAAATCCGAAAAGTGTGAGGGCAAACTTTTTCGGAGTGAGAACTGTAAACTCTTGGAACAATCTACCAACGAGTGTTGTGGCAGCACAAATGTGAGTTCTTTCAAGACCAGACTTGACCAACACTGGAGTAGGTACAGATACATTCTGGAGCTGAACATGCCCACTACTTGCCAATAGTGCATAACAGAGACATGACCGACTGCCTAAACAGCTGAGCCGATCAGTGGTGAAGAGGATAAAACAAAACAAAACAAATGACAACTTTATGGGTAATGTCTGAGAACAGCACTACTGCCAGAAGGAATTGTTCAATTGTTAATTTTTTCCCCGCAATGTTCTTAATACTATAGTAAGTATTTTAAAAGGGGCTACATTTACTAGAACCTAATAGCACCTGTTCTAACCAGCCAAAGAAACCTACCTAACCTTAACTAACTTCTTTGCACCCCCTGCCACATTTAACAGAAAGTACTTATTTTGATATCTGGTACCAATGAAAGCAACTTTGTTGAAGCGTCATGGTTTAATCTCACATTTTTAGTGGACATGAGAGTACACTCAGACCAAGTGGGTCGGCTGTACAAACTGAACAGACAACACCCACTGACTCGGCAGATTATTTGGAGGAGTATTTACGGTAAATCATTCATTTCTTTATATACAAAGCATGCAGAGACATCATTTTAAGTGTCATACGATTGGTTTTTCACCGTGTTTTACCCTGCAGTTTCCCTCATCCTTCATGCCCTGCACACCACAGGTGATTTATGATTGTAGATATAGGAAAACAAAAAATAGAATACTTGTAATTAAAATACAAAGTTGTCGCCCTTTTAAAATACTTTATATAATGATAAGGACACCTGTGGAAAAAATGGCTAATATGGAGGACCACAGCTGCTTACCCCCGTCTCAGTAACAGTAAATTCGCTCACGGCAGGTGTTAAGTTATGTTAGGCTAGGTTAGACCGTTAGGTTAACTTGAACTTTTAAATAAGGCGCTCTGATTGGCTAATCGTCTATTACTGGCAAACAATACGAGAACAATATGTGACCGTGACTGGCGGTATTTGGCATTTATTTTGCTGTGAGTCGATCGTTGTGTAGCTATAAATATACCTAACCTGTTAAATTGTTTTCATTTTTTCCACGGATGTTCTTATCATTTTAAAAGAGGCAACATTTACTAGAGCCTAATAGAAACTGACCTAACCAACCAACAAAACCTACGTAACCTTATCTAACTTCCTAGCTGGGGGGCAGGTCCTCATCATATTAAACAGACAGTACTTAGCCAATCAGAGCGCATTCACAGTAAAATAGCATTAGTAGGAACTTAGCCAGTCACAGCAAAATATCCATTACATTTAAATAAATATATTTGGTAAATTTTTACTTTAGGACATGAGTCACTTGGGGTTAACCAATATGTTTTTCCAGTGTATTTTGGTGTTTAAACGAATCTGACCTTCATTTTTGGCGGAAATTGTGCATTCTCCTCCCAACAATAATGGGGGAGAGCCTGGGAAATCAGGGTTTTTGGGTGGGGAGAAAACGAGTCATCTAACCTAACAAAACCTAACCTAATCCCCAGCCGGGGGTGAATCCCCGGTAGGCCTAGCTTAAACTAAACTAAATGTTTCAGTAGTTAAAAAGTTTGGGGTGCGCCATGTCCGAAAGTACAATACTTTAGTTAGAAGTGGAAGGACCAGGGATACGTAAGAATTGGATAGAATGATCGTCTTTCTCGTAAAACTCGGCAATAAACTTAAAATAATCATAGGAGCACAAATGACAACCAACCTCCACCACGGCCATTGTGATACTGGTCAATGAAATTAGTCAGTATGCTTCCTTTGAAAAAAAATCAAATGTGATTGGTCGAAAAAAATTCACGTGATGATATCGATATATCATTGGTCATGACTGGATGACATCAGTCTATTGCGCATGCATGATATGCCGATAAATCTCTTCAAAGACTGAAAACTACGTAAAATCAATTAAATTCAATTGTGTTGCTATTATCCATTTCCGTCATGTATATATGGGGTTCAAAATGCTTAGAATAGCGAGATCTAAATGTTTCAGTAGTTTATAACTTTTGGGCTCTCTATGTGCTAAAGTAAAATAATACCACATTTTTTAACAAATTTGCCCTAACTATGACAAGTGTCCACTATAAAACAGAGAAACTGCAGCATTTTTAAATCCGATTTCTATGAAAAATCAGCGGCTGTGAAATCGTAAATACTTGGGTCCGACTAATTACCCAAATGTAGCCGCAATGAAGTCAAATAATGGTCCTACATGAATAAATCGGACTGCCAATCACTTCTCGACTAGTATTTGGTGTCACAAAGTAAAAAAAAATTGGAAAACATAATTTAATCTGAGTTAATAGATCGCGTGCATGTACCGAGGGAACGAATAATTACCCAAATGTACCCAAATGTAGCCGCAATGAAGTCAAATAATGGTCCTACAAGAATAAATCGGACTGCCAATCTCTTCTCGACTGGTATTTGGTGTCACAAAGTAAAAAAAAATTGGTAAACTTAATTTAATCTGAGTTAATAGATCGAGTGCATGTACCTAACCTAACCTAACCTCGACTAGTATTTGGTGTCACAAAGTCACAAAAAATTGGTAAACTTAATTTAATCCGAGTTAATAGATTGAGTGCATGTACCTAACCTAACCTAACACAACTCAGATTAAATTAAGTTTAACAATTTTTTGTGACTTTGACACCAAATAATAATCGAGAAGTGATTCACAGCCCGATTTACGCTTGCAGGACCATCATTTGACTTAATTGCGACTACATTTGGGTAATTATTCGCTCCCTCGGTATATGCACGCGATCTATTAACTCAGATTAAAGTAAGTTTCCCAATTTTTTTTTTACTTTGTGACACCAAATACCAGTCGAGAAGTGATTGGCAGTCCGATTTATTCATGTAGGACCATTATTTGACTTCATTGCGGCTACATTTGGGTAATTAGTCGGACCGTAAACAATTACCTAAATATCTATTCTGCATTTAATACATCAAGGATCAAGATTAATGGTGGGTATCTGTTCTCCTAATTTGTTCTATTATTTATAGTACAATCATCCTTACATCTCAGTTATGGCAGTTCTCTTAACTCACCAATTTTCTTTTCATTTTGTGTATAGTTTATAGATACAGATACAGTATTACCTTGTGAATGCTGTCAACGTGTGTGGTTTATAGGTCAGCGCCTCATCGGGTTTAACTCATTGGTGGTGGTGGTGTTTTGATCAGGGTTGCCAAGGTCGGGAAATATATTCTAGCCAAATCCCGCCCTCAATCCCGCCCTCATTAATTGAGACTGAATGCGAAAAGGACCTAGGTGTGTATGTTGACAATGAACTGAAGTTCTCGGGCCATTGTGAGAGGGTGAACCAAGCAACTAAATTATTAGGTCTTATAAGAAGGTCGTTCAGATCTTCAAGAGCGAGGTGTTCCCCCGCCTGGTCCCCGAGATATGCTAGGGACCAGTGCCGGATTTAGACCTGTGGAGGCCCATGGACAGCCTCTTTGTGGAGCCCCCCTCATTATAACTACCCAAGAGGGTGGGGTGGCGAGTGAAGCGAGCCTAAACATGTGGGAGTTTCGGGGGGCGCTGTAAGCCCCCCCGGGAAAATTTTGAAATTTGAACACTTCTTTGGAGAATTTTGAAGCCATATGCAGTTATATTAAAAATATAAAAAAATATACGGTTCATAGGAAAACCAGGCATTCATGAATTTCAAGGAGTAGCTAGCCTAATTTCTATCACGCTTCTTGCTGAACATAGTTTTACGTGATGGAATAGATAAACATGAATTTTAAAGAATGAAAATAAAAATAATCCAAATGAATAAACAAATAAATAAAATATTGCAATATGTGGAGGCCCCTGGGCAGCTGCCCACTTTGCCCACTCCTGAATCCAGCCCTGCTAGGGACTGTCAGTTGAATGAAAATGTCCAAAGAAGGGCCACCAGACTGGTGCCGGCACTTCAGCTACACAGAGAGATAGAGCTGGAACTACAGACGGACAAGGGGAGACCTAATTAAGGTGTATGAACATCTCAAAGGGGCATTTACTCAGTCGAGTGTTCTTACCTGGAGCTGGCGGTCGCTCGCCCCACAGGGGGGTCACAGCTCAAGGTTGAAGAAGCCTCAAGTCCAGAAAACTGTGAGGGTGTGGGGTACGAGTTGTTTGGGTTCACACTCAGGATGGGATGGAGAAAGGAAACTTACAATGTGCTCTCTGTATACATGTTGCATTGGATGTACAATATAGCTTTGTGCTGGGAAGGCAGCATGGTTACAAGCGTTGAGTAGAGAGAGCTGGTTGGTGAGGGTGCTCAGAGGAGGACAAGCTTGTGGGTCGCCATGCTCGCCGGCGGGAGCGAGGACCGCCAGGCAGAAGCGGAGGAGGTGCTGTTGCTTGCTGGTTGGTGTAGGTAGAAAAGAGAGAGGTCACCACGAGGCGAGGTCTTAAATAGCGGAGGTAGGCGTGGCTTAATAATTGACCACCGTGATGTAGGGCGGTGCTGGTTGCTGACCTAGACCACGAGGCATACACTGGGGAATTCGCGGGGTCGGCTACTCAGCGACAAACGGCGTTTGCAGAGGAGGTATCCACTACAAGGGCTAACTCTTTTGGAGTGAGAGTTGTGAACTCTTGGAACAACCTGCCTAGAGTGTTGAACTTGTGATGGCACCTAATGTGAGCTGTTTCAAGACCTTGACCAACACTGGAGCAGGTTCTGATACATACAGGAGCCAGTGCATGGCCAGTACTGTATTTGCCAGCAGTGCGTAATAGAGACGTGACCGATCGCTCAAGCGGCTAACGAGCCGATCAGTGACGAAGAGGATAAAAGTAAAGTAAAAGCAAAAAAATCGCTAACCCGCCTCAGCTAAAATTTGCCTGCTAATCAGACCCAAAATTAGCCAAATTTGGCATGAAAGCGCCAACTTGGCAACTCTGATTTTGGTTGTTGGTCGGTTCGTTTAACCTGATGACTCTTCCGTTTTCTTTATTCTTTTTTACTTTTATCCTCTTCGCCACTGATCGGCTCGCTAGCCGCCCGGGCGATCGGTCACGTCTCAATTACGCACTGTTGGCAAATACTGGGCATGCACCGGCTCCTGAATGTACCTGAACCCGCTCCAGTGTTGGTCAAGTCTTGCCTTGAAAGAGCTCACACTCGATGCCGTCACAACACTCTCTTGTTGATTGTTCCAAGAGTTTACAACCCTCACTCCGAAAAAGTTTGCCCTCACGGTTTTCTGGACTTGCGGCTTCTTCAATCTTGAGCTGTGACCCCTTGTGGGGCGAGCGTCCGCCAGCTCCAAGTAAGACACTCAACTGAGTAGTGCCCCTGAGATGCTTATACACCTCAACTAGGTCCCCCTTGCCCGTCTGTAGTATAAGCTAGGCAAGTTCAGGCGCTCCAATCTCTCAGGGTAGCTGAGGTGCCGAAGTGCAGGCACCAGTCTGGTGGCCCTCCTTTGAACATTTTCAACCAACTGACAGTCCCTAGCATATCTCGGGGACCAGATGGGGTGAGAGTACTCCAGATGTGAAAGCACTTCACTCCTGAAGATCGTTACGAGGGACGGACCGTCTAGATATCTGAACGACCTTCTTATAAGACCCAATAATTTGTTTGCCTGATTTACCTTCTTCTCACAATGGCCCGAGAACTTCAGCTCATTGTCAACATACACACCTAGGTCCTTCTCACACACAGTCTCAACTAGTGCAGTTTCTTCATCCCGTTGGGACATATGATACGCCTCCTTACCGTTGGTACGCCCCAGGTGCATCCTCTTACACTTCGTGACATTGAATCTCAGCAGCCATGTCTTCGACCACTCTTGGAGCCCACAGAGGTCCTTCTGCAGCTCTTCACAGTCTGTTTGGTTCTTGATTTCCCTAAATAACTTGGCGTCATCGGCAAACATGTGTATGGAGGAGTGTACAACGTCAGGCATGTCATTTATGAAACAAACAAACAACAGCGGGCCCAATACACTGCCCTGTGGTAACCCACTTGTTACAGGTACAGATGACGATTTCGTGCCATTAATCACCACACACTGCTTGCGGTCATGTAGAAAGTCTTCTATCCACGCTAGGACATTTCCCCGAATTCCGTACCCTTCCAGTTTGATTTTCAGCCTGTCGTGGGGTACACTGTCGAAAGCCTTGGCAAAATCTCGGTAAATATTGTCGATATTACCACCCCGTTCCAGAATATGGGTCCAAATATCCAATACCTTGAGCAATTGTGTTAAGCAAGAGCGCCCCGGCATGAAACCGTGTTGGCAATCTTTTACAAGGTTGTTTCGTAGTAGATGTTCCATCGCGGCATCTCCGATAATACTCTCAAGTACTTTACATATTATGCTGGTCAGGCTCACTGGTCTATAGTTGTTCGTGGAGTGACGATCGCCCTTCTTGAAGATAGGACTCACATAAGCCACTTTCCATTCACTGGGGACCATTTGTTCATCCAGGCATTTACAAAACAGGATCTTCAGGGGCTCTGCAAGCTCGTTGCACATCTCTCTTAGCACTCTAGGATGCACCATGTCAGGTCCGGGACTCTTATGGACCTTTAGCCTGGACAGTTTATTTCCAATACCCTCTTCTGTGAACACAATGTGGGTCAGTGCTGTGTCGAACCGTCTGTCCTCAAACACAGGAAGGTTAGTTGCATCCTCTCTTGTGAACACTGAGGAAAAGAAGCTGTTCAATGCCTCAGAATCTGCGTAGCTACCATCTTTAAGCCTCAGGTCTGATACTCCTACTCGCGTTTTCAATTTCGACTTTGCATAGCGGTAAAACGCCTTTGGGTTTGACTTGACCTCGCTTGCAACCAGCCTCTGGAACTCCTTTTCAGCCCTCCTACACTTTAAAAGAACTCTTCGAACAAGTTCTCTGCTAGCCTAATGAATTAATCAGAACGTTTGTAGGAATGTATCCATTTATCACAAGTTTTCTTATCTCTGGGAAATCTGTAATACCTTGTGCTCTCTGCTTGGGATTTGAGCTTTCCTGGTGTGCCCATATATTGCACAAATAACCATAATTGTTGATACACTGGTTCGGGGACCAGACGCGGGCACACACGGAGGTTACCAGATGATGCATGTTTACAATAGTGACGTCACTGAGATGTGCATTTTACTTTTATCCTCGTCGTCACTGATTGGCTCGTTAGCCACTTGGGCAGTCGGTCACGTCTCTGATACGCACTGTTGGCAGATACTGGGCATGCACTGGCTCCTGAATATATCGGAACCTGCTCCAGTGTTTGTTAAGTCTGGCCTTGAATGAGCTCACACTCGGTACCCTTGTGGGGTATGAGATATTTCTCCTCCATCCTGTGTGAGTGATCACTCCGGGGTCACCATTTGTGGGGTACGGGTTGTTTGGTTCACACTCAGGATGGGATGGAGAAAGGAAACTCACAATGTGCTCTCTGTATACATATTGTATTGGATGTACAATGCAGCTTGGTGCTGGGAAGGCAGCATGGTTACAAGCGTTGAATAGAGAGAGCTGGTTGGTGAGGGTGCTCAGAGGAGGACCAGCTTGTGGGTCGCCATGCTCGCTGGTGGGAGCGAGGACCGCCGGGCAGGAGGAGGAGGAGGAGGTGTTGCTTGCTGGTGGCTGTGGGTAGTAAGAGTGGTCACCACGTGGTGTGAGTTGCCATGGTCGCCGGCTGGAGCGAGGACCGCCAGGCAGGAGTAGAGGTGGTGGTGTTACTTGAAGACTGGCTGTAGGCAGAGAGATAGGTCACCACGAGGTCAGGTCTTATATAGCAGGGGTAGGCGTGGCTTAATAGTTGACCTCAGTCGTGTAAGGTGGCGCTGGTTGCTGACCTAGACCACGAGGCATACACTGGGGAATTCGAGGATCGGCTAGTCAGCGACAAACGGCATTTGTAGGGGAGGAATCCACTACACCCTCAGAACGCTTTCAGGCAGATTGTTCCAAGAGTTCACAATTCTCACTCCGAACAAATTTGCGCTCACAGTTTTCTAGACTTGTGGCTTCTTCAACCTTAAGCTGTGAATGCCCTTGTGAGGCAGACGTCCGCCAGCTCCAGGTATATACATGCGACCGAGTAGTGCCCCCCCCCCCCTAGATGTTTAAATACTTCGATTAGGTCACCCCTCACACCGTCTGTGGTAATATCGACAATATATACTGAGATTTTGCCAAGGCTTTTGACAGTGTACCCTATGAAAGGCTGAAAATTAAACTGGAAGGGTATGGGATTTGGGGAAATGTCCTAGCGTGGATCCAAGACTTTCTACATGACCGCAAGCAGTGTGTGGTGATTAATGGCACAGAATCATCATGTGTACCCATCACAAGCGGGGTACCACAGGGCAGTGTATTGGGCCCATTGTTGTTTGTTTGCTTCATAAATGACATGCCTAACGCTGTACATTCCTCCATACAAATGTTTGCGGATGATGCCAAGTTATTTTGGGAAATTAAGAACCAAGCAGACTGTGAAGAGCTGCAGAAGGATCTCTTTGAGCTCCAAGAATAGTTGAAGAAATGGCTGCTAAGACTCAATGTCACGAAGTGTAAGAGGATGCACCTGGGAAGTACCAATGGTATGGAGGCGTATCATATGTCCCAACAGGACGAAGAAACTGCATGACAATGAACTGAAGTTTTTAGACCATTGTGAGAAGGTGAACAAAGCAATTAAATTATTAGGTCTTATAATCTTCAAGAGTGAAGTGCTTCCATGCCTGGTCCCCAAGATATGCTAGGGATTATCAGTTGATTGAAAATGTCCAAAGGAAGGCCACCAGACTGGTGCCAGCACTTCAGCAACCCAGATATTAGTGCCTGAAATTGCCTAGTTTATACTACAGACGGGCAAGGGGAGACCTAAATGAGGTTTATAAACACATCAAAGGGCACTACTCAGTCGAGTGTCCTTACCTGGAGCTGACAAGGGGTCACAGGTCAAGGTTGAAGAAGCTGCAAGTCCACAAAACTGTGAGGGCAAACTTTTTTGCAGTGCGAGTTGTGAACTCTTGGACCAACCTGCCAGTGTTGTGCCGGCACCGAGTGTGAGCTGTTTCAAGACCAGACTTGACCAACACTGGAGCGGGTTCAGATACATTCAGGCGACAGTGCATGCCCAGTACTTGCAAACAGTGCTTAACAGAGACGTGACCGATCGCCCAAGCGGCTAACGAGACGATCAGTGGTGAAGAGAATAAAAGTAAAAGTTAAAATAAAAATTGAAATCTTACTTTGCCTGTCCTGAAAAATTGAATTATCTGACTTTTGCCCTTTTTGCACTCAGCCAGAGATTTATTAGTCTTGGTTATGGTACATAATGGCTTATGAAAATTAGTACTATGGGCTTGTATTAATTTTCTAAAATTAACTTTTAGAATCTAATCAGTGTTCGAGCTTTGCAATGCAACAAAGAAATTGATTGCAAGTACCCTGGGCTGGCAAGCACATTGTGGGCAGAACTTCTGACCACAGCATCTTCTTCCCACCCGGGTGTGGTTTCCTTTTAGAGATTTTTGGCCACTGACAGTTCATTCAATCAAGATAAATGAGATCTTTTAATAAAAAAGATAACATTAATTTCAAAACAGTCATCGGATTCTCTGAGGTTTACAGATCAACAAGATATAACTTCAGTTGAGAACTCGGGTTTTGTTCTCTCGCTAACACCAGATCAGTAATCCCAACTGTTGCCCGGCCGCCCAAGCACATCATCTCAATACAATTTACACAACATGTAAAGATAGATGAAGCTTTTAACATATACTCAAGACACCTCGAATGCTTCAGCTCGTGGTAGGCATACAACAATTAAGGCTACTCATACAGGTTATCTCTTAAATTTAAATTTACAGTGTAAAGAGCGTACTTCAGGACTTAGAGAAAATGGAAGGTACCTCTAGCTAGGGAAAACAAGTCTCTCTCTAGGGGTAACTCATTATTTTCACACGTTTTGTGGACGGTGAAGTGTAATATGAATCCATATATATAAATATAATATTGATACAAATGTGACCATGACAATTAAACCAAAGAACTTAAGGGCCTTAATTGACAACAGAACGGTGATCAACAACAACCACCTCCTTGCCTTGGGGGGACTTTAATTATGGCAACATCGACGAGTGAAATGAAACCACACCAAATGACTTTAATAATCCCACTACTATTTTTGTAGAAACTCAGAGCAATAATTTTCCATTTCAATATGTTAAAGATCCGACTCACTACAGGAGGTCAAGGTTTGATAAAAAAGACAGGGTGTGACAGGTGTACCAGTGGACGTCCGGGTGCATGTTTAAAGTACTGTACACTAGTTCACATGCACCCAGACGTACACCTGTCACACCCTATCATTGTTGACATTCCAGAAATCCTTGACCTACCTCACACATTTCCTTTGCTTACATCTGAAAATATGCAATTTTTAATTATGCAGCAACTTCAATGGTCTATAAATTTGAGAATAATGATGTTCTGTTATTAAGGTAGAAAATGCATTAAAGTGGACCATAATTAGTGGTCAAACTTAGTACAGTAATTGCAGAATGTGAGTCAACCAAGTGACAGAGCAAAGGTTAATGCCTTGTAGTTTATTATACACTGTACTGTACAGTGTACTGTATTGTAAATGAAAACAAGAACAAATATATAACAAGATACTGTATATACAGTAGCCATCAGTATAAGGTTTCATAAAAAGACAATAAAAAAACATGCAATTTTTAGAGATTTAAGCTATCTTTAAGAAACACACAAGATCAAACAACAGATGCCTGACTTTTAGGTAAGTCTCTACAAACATTTACTCGCCCCTTATCAAAGCTACGTGAGGTTGTTTACCACTATGTTATGACATTTATTAGATATACCTGCACAAAGTTTGTAAAAAGAAGAAAAGCAAAACTGAACACTAGTTTAAGATGTCAACCAAAAAGACATTACATGAAGATAAACATGAACCAGATATCAGAGGGATTCTCACATTGGCAAGATTTTCTCATGTGCTGCCATAATCCTCAGGTTTAAAACTTAACACAAAACTGTCAACAAAGGTCTTTATTGTCACAATAATATACTGTACTGTAATACCTACCGGGAACGTTATAAAAAAGACATACAGTATATATTTTATCCGAGGGCTATTAGTACAATTTCCCTGATGTCTAGATTCTACATTATGATTACAAATAAAATTCTGTAGTAAATTACCTTCAATTAATATGAATGAGATAAATATTTGAAATTTGTTTTTCAAAAATCATAAAAAAAATTACATTCAACTTCATGGTCTACATCTCAGCAGGAGCAGTGTATTCAGTAATAACTGTATTCAGTAATAACATTTTGGATGAGTAAAATACAGTACAGAAAATTTAAATAAACACGCACATGCATACAGTCTGATACTTTACACCATTGCCAGAATCCTTATTTAATAATTACCACAAAACAGACTGTTTACCGTTAACTCTGAATACAGACAACACTATATAGCTCCTTCATTACAATATTAAACGCCTGCATATTTCACTTCATCGAAAGCCTTTCTGGCTTTCTTCAGTTCTTCATTCATGTTGAGGAGGTCATGGACTCTTGCATACTTTCTCTTGTCTTTTCTTACTAAATACATTACATCTTCAACTTGTACTCGCCCTGACCTGCCAACTTCCATCGCACGCTGTGTCTATATGAAAGAAAACACAATTAAAAATCGACAATCATTTTTATTATATTTTCTAAATTTATCTCTTAAATTATTTTATTTTAAAATGAGTCTTTTAGAAAATCCTCTACCACAAGTTTTATAAAGTTTCCTTCCACATCTTGTTCTGTAAGTTGCTTATGAAGACTAAAAGTAACTGAATATCAACTAAAGAACACCATCTAAGCCTTATAAATTTCTAGTCAACATTCGATGACTACTTACAATGCAACAATACAATATTTCATACCATCTGAGTTATAAATTCAATGACAAGATCCTCCAGAAGATCAACACTCTCTGTGTAGGGATTCTGATCATCTCCAAATCCATACATCATACAACGTAGCTCCTTGGAGAACAGTCTTTTGCGTCCACCTGTTCCAGAAGAAATGGCTGCTTCGGACTGAGTCTCCCCAGTCTCCTCCTCTTCATACTGAAAGAAATCGTCGCCATCATTCTGCTAGGGGGGGAGGGGGAGGAAACACAAGCAAGAGGAGGATATTGGAAGCAAAAATATTGGAAAATGGAGAGAAGGTAGCAGAAAGGTTAAAATTACCAAGAGAATAAGTGTTTGGGTGTAAGGATTAAGAATATTGGTAGTGCAAGAGAAGAAGAGTTTCAATGTCATGTATTGAGTCATGAACAGAGATTATTTAAATACACAATGTGTGTGAATTAAAGATGTATGGTACAAAAGTTATAAATTATCCAGCAGAGAAAGAAAATATAAAAGTTTTAATCAAAATGGCCATTTAAAAAATAACAGAAAATTTGCAATAAGAATAAAAAAATAATAATGGCAATTAAGCACAGTATATCATTGCCATTTCAAAATTGCATTAAAGTCAGCATAAAAATGGCATACAAAATGCATAACAGACCCAAGATATACAGTGAGTGTTTGTAAATATAATGACAATTATAAAAAGTTCACCAACGAATCATGACGGTCATCATTAAAAAAATGTAATTGGAAAGAAACACAATACAAACACAGGAGTAATGAAACAGTACAAGAAGTTGGTGTGTGTGGTGATGAGGTAGATGGTCATGTGTTGGGTTTAGGTGATGTGGTAAGTACAGTACATGTGGTAGGTTGTAAGTACAGTACATGTGGAAGGTTAAGAGAATTTATAAAGAATTACATAGTTATTTGTACAGTATTGGAATTTTTTCATAAAAGTATGATGCAAGAGAAGTTAGCAGTGAGTTAAAAGACATTAGAATAAGGTACAACAGATGGTAGACATAGGTGAGGTGAGGTCAATTGGGTGAGCGTAATTCATAGTTTGGAAAAATCACATTTTGATGAACCAAAAACAATGTGTTCATTAAAAGATACAGGTAATAATATTTCAAAGTATATTAATAACCACAAAGACCAGAGTTTAGTTGGAAAGTACATGATCAAACAAGAGGTTTACACGCTCACAAAATACAAACATCACGTGCAGCAAGGCCATGTTGTCAACAACAAAGGCATCAATATGCAACAATATTGTACAGTAGTAATATATTTTGCAAATATTGAAAAGCAGCACATAAGCATTAACAGTACCGAAGCACAATTATGGCATATAGAACAAGCAAAGGTGGTAAAAAATCACCACATTGTTTAACAGAATATGCATAAGCAGAATTAGTCAAGCCATTAGCAGTTACAGAGAGACAGACAAAGCATAAGACATACAGGAGTACATGAGACCAAAGAATTGAAGAGAAATGAAGGAATGTGGGATAAGGAGAGAGAGGAGAGAAGAGAACAAAATAATTAGAACTAAGTACATTACTGTATAACATAAGCAACATGCAAAAATTTATAGGACAACACTCAGTAAACACAAATAACTAAAATGAATCTGACCGTTTGAAAATGTAGGGGAGCAAAACAAAGAATTCAAACAATTACCTAAAAAAAAAAAAAAATACTGTGCTGTCTTATATTTAAATCATGACTGACAGTGATATCATTTAACTTCAACATGAAACTTCCCTCAAACGAATCATTGTTCATTTTCATTACCATTTATCAGAAGAAAAAAGCCAAGCATCCAAGACACAACAACCCTTTATTTTTTTCCTGTGTACAACTCCTCTGTTTTAGAGAGAGAATGAACAGCTTATCGATGCCACCTAGATTCATTACTATTTGCTCGGAAATATTCCAAATTTTTTTGTTGTACTGCAAAAGCTGTTGGCTAATTCAGTTTCTTAATACTGTATTGATATTGTGGTGTTTCTCCCTATACGTAATTAATTGAGATTTGTTCCTCCCTCTAGATAACTGAGAATTGTTCCTCCCTCTAGATAACGGAGGAAGTTGTTCCTCCCTCTTGATAACTGAGAGAGTTGTTCCTCTCTCTAGGTAACTGAGGAACTTGTTCCTCCCTCTAGATAAATAAGAAAATTGTTCCTCCTCCAGACAGCGGAGTTCTTTCTCCCTCTTAGTATAATGACTTATGTTTCATTCACTTCAAGCAGCTGCTAAATGTAATATAGTACTGTATTTAACACTGTAACACATGACTTTTACTCTAAGAATAAGAAGTACAGTTCAGTACAGTAGTAGTTAATACATTCATTGTAGTGGTGTTCAGGAGATGAAGAATATTTCCATTAAAAAAAAAAAAAAAAATTATATATATATATATATATATATATATATATATATATATATATATATATATATATATATATATATATATATATATATATATATATATATATATATATATATATATATATATATATATATATATATATATATATATATATATATATATATATATATCAATCCCACCACACACACTGAGGTATCCCAGCAAAAGAAATCGATAAAGCCAACTCACCCATAACTACAAGAGCTCTATCTACTGTTTGAGGCTAATTCTTGCCACCAATTATGACCATGCACTACACATCATGCACTACTGTACTATATTAACTCACAAAAGACTGCCAATTTAACATAAAATCATGGTAGAAGGGAAGTGTACAGTACATAGGTGATGAGAGCTTTTTTCTTTTTTTCTTATTAAACCCTATGAGGATGATGGTACAGTCGCTGACAAAATTTCCTTCCCCGTGGTGAAACTGAGTAACAGGAACGAGTCTCCGAAGTAACTTATCCTGACTGTCATCTGGTGCAGTTGTGCTATGTTATTTAATTTGGGGCCAATACTGCTTCACTTTGGGAGGGAGTGAAATTTTGATCCCGAATGTACAATTGCATGAAGGTTTAACACTTTCAGATTAACATTAGCATGATAGTTTAATACAGGTATGGGACCATTTATCTGGCATCCTGGTATCCAGAATGATCCAAAAAATGGCTATGTTCTGGAACATAATATTTAAAATGAATGCCAAAAGTAATTCCCGGGCTGAACAGAGATATTTCCAACTATTCCCTACCTGTGAGCTTTATGTTAGGTTAAGGTTATTTTTCAAATCATAATTTCAAGTAGATACAGGTATATCTAATATAAATTATTTTCTTTACTCAGTTACATACACTCAATCTTACATACATAAAATGAAAATAGATAAATAAAAAATATTTTTCAAAGGTATAAATTATTTTCCAACTCGTATTTTCGGGTAGACACACGTACAGTACAGTACTTTTCTTTTTTACTCGGCTACATACACACAGAATCCTATAAACATACAGTGCCAAAGGTAAATAAAAGAAAATTATCATAAGGTATAAAGTTTTTCGTATCTACGGGTTTACATCTGTGAAGCTGTGTGGTGAGTGTGTGGAGGTGAGAGGATCTGTGGTGGAGCATTGTTGCTAAGGTGAGTATCATGGGCGATGGCGATGCAGTTTTTACATTAACTTGTGTCTTTTTTTGCTCTTTTTATGCTTTCATTATTACTGTACAGTACTATTTATATGCTTTTGTTATTTATGTTTATATACAGTACCTACAATTTAAGATTTTAATGTTACTGCTACTTTTAGGGATAAATCTAGTGATCAGAACAGTCTTCACAGGCAGTTATAGAAGGTTTACTATACATTTGTACACTTTAGGCCAGGTGCTCCAAATTCCAGAAAAATACCCCTAGGTCCCAAGCAGGGCATATAAATGGTCCCATACCTGTACTTTTAGGTTAACATTAGAATGATAGTTTAAAACTTTTAGAATGATGGTTCAAACCTTTAAACTTCATGGTTTTATTCCGTGAGGACATTAGTTTAAACAATCATCCTCAAAGGGTTAAGCCATCATAGTTCAAGGGTTAAATCACTGTCTACAAAGGGCTAAGGTACAAAATATGAAGACCATTATCAGTGATTTTGTAGCCTTTTCAAGAAGACCAAAACCATTCTACAAAAGATTCCAACTATCTCATGATAGTTGTACTGTATAAATAATATACTGTATACTGTAAAAGTAATTGCAGATAGTAGAATAGACATTATAAGAGCAATTACAATACAGGGCTGTACAGTACTGTATTTTCGAGCATCAAATACGGTAATATTCAAATTCACATTTGTTAGCATATACAGTACTGTACAACATATACAATACTACCAGTACGTACAGTAATATCTCCGTTAGCCGGAATCCCTCTTAACCGGAACTCTCTGGTAGCTGGAATTGAAATTTTCTCGAAAAATTGTTCCCAAAGCCAGAATATTCCGGAAAATTCCGGCTGCGGAAAAGAATTTCCGAGGGGCACATTTTCTGGATAATTCAAGAAAATTTTCCCAGTACCTGGAAAATTCTGGAAATTCCAGATGAGCAATTTTTTTCTGTTTGAAAGATGACATAATGCACCATTCTGGAAAATTCAGGGGATGGAGGATTTCTTTCCAGGTTCGAGAGATGATGTAATGAGCAATTTCTGGAACTTCTGAGAAAATTTTCCCAGTACCTGGAAATTCCAGGGATGAGGAATTTTTTTCTGGTTTTGAGAGAGTTGTCTCATTGCCTGGAAATATCTCATTCCTGGAAGTACTCTGCACCAATTTTTCCGGCTAACAGAGATATCACTAAATACATGCACAGTATGTATTCAAAATATTGTATTTGCTTAATCTTATATTCACAACTCTAGGTAACTTTGAGAGACAGTAAAAACAAGAAAAAATAATTAAAGCAATCATCATCAACAATATTAAATTTCCAAGTTAACATTCAAGGCATCCACATTCACTAAACCTCCGGCCATTACAGTAAAATATAAAGACAAAACCTCACCAAGAACCAAAAGAGGATCCAGATATTCCCTTATCTAAATAAATTAATCATCACCTAATAGATCACTTACATTAAATAACTCTATATAATCCAAACTTGAAACTTATCAAAGAAAATACATGTACATGTATAAAGCCAAAAAGAATACTGCATAAATTCCAACCTGTTGCAGGTTGGAATTTATGCAGTATTCGCCCGCTTGCCCGTTGGCAAGTGGAAAATCCTTAAGGAGAGTTAAATTTGATGGTATTTACTAGCCCACTGGGAGTATGGTAATTTTGCAGCATGCAAAAGTGAAAGTGTCTAACACTGTTTAGCTATAGAGAAAAAACTGATTTTATGCAAAAAAAAAATATATACAGTATTACCCCGCCTAACGTGGTTTCACTTAACGCGTTTTTTCATATACGCGGTGCCTCGCCAGAGCTGAACTTTCATTTAACACGGATTTTTTCCACATATACGCGGTGAGTGTCCGGCTCCAGACGCTATTTTTAGATTTGCCCCACCCGCCACCCTGCCTGACTGCCTGTTTTAGCTCATAAAATTCATACAAATTACCCGGCCAGAATATAATTTACATTGCTGGAATTCTTATAATTTGGTGATCATTTTGAATATAAACATCATATATTTTGCATTAGACATACAAATTTTAGATAAAATTTTTTCTCTGAGTAAATATGTTATCTTTTGTGCAAAATATATGACATTTATATTCAAAATATTCCTGGTCTTACAAGGAATCCAGCAATGTCAATTATATTATCCTAACTTTAGTTTGAGGTATTATTTATTACTAAAAAGTTAAATACGTATTCTGGTTTTCCCACACATCTCCTTGGGATGGTTGGTGGGGGGTGGGGGGGGGGAGGGAGGGACCGACCGACCATCTGTTACCGTGTGAAGAATATTTTTTTTTTATTAACTGAAGATATTTGTTTTAGCTCATAAAATTCATACAAATTACCCGGTCAGAATATAATTTACATTGCTGGAATTCTTATAATTTGATGATCATTTTGAATATAAACATCATATATTTTGCATTAGACATACAAATTTTAGATAAAATGTTTTCTGAGTAAATATGGGCTAGTGTGCGTCTGTGCAAGAGGTCCAGTTTAGACACTCGGAAACTTTTCCCAGTAATCGGAAAAGGTTCCGGGTACAGTACGTATAAGGAATTTTTCGGGTTAGAGAAAGTTATCTTGTTACCCGGAAATCTCTCATCCCCGGAAGTGCTCTGCACCAATTGTTCCGGCTAACGGGGATATGACTGTAAAGTATTCCAAAATTCGAAAATATTCCAAATCCAAGATCTCAAGATTAACTCCCAAGTGGTCACCTAAAGTTATGCCCCTCAGCCTAACCAGGCTTTAATTTTACTACCCCAAAATTATCTAGGGTACTAACCTTCAGGTGATCCATAAAGGCTAAAATTGCAAATTGTCTCGTTCATAGTCACAACTACATCACTTTCATATAGATTCATGAGCATTCCTATCCTCATATGAAACTAATTATAACACACAATCATTTCAAGAATTTTAAACAAAGTCAGAGATAAATAAAAAAGAAAATGTATCAATAACCAGAATGGTATAGCTACTTTCACTTAACCAACCTGATCAAAACTGTCATCAGCTGCAGCCATTTTTTATCCACTCACTGAGTACTGTACTGTATATTACAGAGTACCAGGTACAGTATGCTTAACTGTATTTAATATTGAGTAAAAATTAAATCCTTATCTAAGCTTTTCATGTGATATATATTCTCAAAATTTATATTCCTCCTAGAAATCCATGTGATAGACACAGCACACTTGCACACTATCCAGGGCAATCACTGCAAAATGAAGCTTATGTCTTTTCTCTAGTTGTTCCTCTAATCCACAGACACCTGAAAGTAATACAAAGGGTCAGTAAGGTACAGTGTTCTCACATAATCTCAGGCATTTTATAATTTCTTGGTAAAAATAAAACATGGAAAACCAATACCTGTATAGAGTAGAGTACAGTGCAGTATATAAATGGAAGTACTGTACCTGGTATGGATATGAGTTATTTCCTAAGTAAGAAAACAGCTTCGGTAGTTTAGCTGTGTAAAAATACAATACCTGTAGTAATAATTTTCTTTTTTAGCTGATGGTATAAGCCCAGTCCCCCTTGTAGCTCATTGGCTCATACATAATATCAATTAATATTGATATATAACACAAATAAAACCATATATATAACTGTTAAGGATAACCCAATTCTGGCTCACTTTAATGATGAATTTAATGTATTTAAAAATATAACTGCTTGAAAACATTAACCTTCAAGACATGAGTGGAAATTTTTTCTTGTAAATAAAGAATATTTGCTGTTAAAGGCACAAACAAATTCACACTTTAGAGAACACATTCAGTACTATACTGTACTTATTATCTTATCAAAAATTATTATGTATGTATATCAAAACAAATGACACAAACATAAAACGCAACGGATAATAATGGCCATTTTATAAAGAGCAGAATCAAGTGAAAACACCACATATTCATGTAAAGGATCTGAAAGGAACCGCAAATGGGGCGGGACTTCTTAGCCTATTACCCTCCCGCCCCCCTTCTCCTCCCCAAAAAAATAAAAATAAAATAAAAATAAAATAAAAAATAATGTATCAGTAATAGCTCTTACCAAAATCTACCCTACAGTTTTCTTCCCACCATAACTACTGCACTCGGTGGCGTATTCTTAATGAACACAAGATATAATTTTAGAGTCTTCACAGTTTTTACTCAGGAAAGTCGAGGAGACTCAGTGTCCCTCAATGCATGCAGAAGGATAAGCCACATGCCCTCAATGGACATATGGACGTAACCATCCTTTCAATAACAGGCTAAAATGAACTTCAATGTGTTGGGTCATAAGGAATTTGAGCCATTTTAGTCAAATTTAATACTTTTTTCCCTTGATAAGCATGAAGTCTTATGTTATACAGTGATATTATATTACCTAAGAGTTGTTGTTCCCTAAGAGTGGCTATTTAATAAGGTTTTTGCAAATGTAATGGGAACAAATGCATGCAATTCGAAAACTGCATTCATTTGTTGAGAGGCTATGTAGACCAGCGGTGGCTCTCTGTCAGCTGGACAAAACTGGTCCACACTATTGTTTTTAATACGTATTTCTAAATAACCCAACAGTCTGCTTTCAGTTATAGTTTTTTCACTTGGGAAAGTTTTACTTGAAATAATAATTGGATCATATAAATAAAAATATTTACTAATTATTTAAATGTTCAGCAATAAGATCATTGACAACTTTACAGAGGGCCAGCATTCTGCATGATGCCTAGTCATTTTTTTTAACTACAGTAATTTATTTCTAAATTACTGTTGCTCACACTGAAAGATTAATATTCTTTTGCCGTAAGTATTTTTGCACCCATTATTAAATGATTTATAACAGATACTTTGTCAGATGCCACTGATATAATTTAAGAAATTAGGTGTTTATAAAAGCTTGACAACCCTTATTTAGAGAAAGGCCATAACTTACTTGATATTTGATTTGATAACTGATATATGTGGTGTTCTGCATGCCTCTCATCAGTGCACCCACGGTACACCACTGACTGCACTGTATACTGTACCTGTACTGTGATATTTTATTGTAAAAGAAAAGTTGTTTCTCATGTTTTAATTAATAAGAATCAAATGTTGACTATTGAAGGAAAAAGACTGTAAAGTGATGATAATGATGACTGTACAGTACAGGCATATCAATTTCAAAATAGTTGAGGAAGCATTGCCTGTATTTTCTCCACTATACTGTCTATAAAGCACATAGAGATATGAAATTACTGTTTTACCAAGTAATTTCCCTCTTTCAAGCCATGCTCACTACAAGTGATTTATGAATGAATGTAGAAAAAAAAAGGCTTAAAATTAAGGGAAAAAGTTGTCATATCATTTTAAGGCAATTTCTGAGAACAGCAACTGCCACCAGAAGCTGTTCAATATTGTTAATTTTTTCCACATATGTGCTTATCATTATAATAAGTACAAGTACAGTAATTTAAAAGAGGTGACAACTTCTTATTTGAATTATAAGTATTTTTTCTCTATCTATGATCATAAATCACTATAGTGGGCAAAGCATAAAGGAGGAGGGAAATTATGGGGTGAAATATCATGAAAAATTTATCATATGGCACTAATATGATGTCTCTACATGCTTTATACGCGAAGAAATTAATAATTTACCGTAAATAATACTGCACACTGTCACATCCACAAAAAATGTAAAATTGCACCATGGTGCTTCAACAAAGTTGCTTTTATTGGTACCAGATATCAAAATAAGTACTTTCTGTTTACTATGACGGGGGGTTCGTCCCCCGGCTAGGAAGTTAGGTAATGTTAGATAGATTTCTTTGGTTGGTTAATTCAGGCTCTATTACCCGGTAGGTTCTAGTAAATTTACCTATTTTAACATACTGTACTTACTATAATGATAAGAACATCTGTGGAAAAAATAAATGAATTCGAACAGCTCCTTCTGGTGGTACAGTAGTGCTGCTCTCAGACATTACACCGCTTTAATTACAAGTGGTCCCCAGGTTACGAACGAGTTCAATTCCTGAGGACGTTCTTAAGTCGGCACTGTATGTAAGTTGGAACACAAACCCTATGTGCACTATATCATAGCCTAAGTTCTTTTATACATCTCAAATCACTTAATTTAAGAGAAAAGAAGGAACTGAATGACAAAATACAGTAAAGGAAAGGAAATATTAAAGTTTAACACATTGAAACCTGGGACTGGCTTGTATGTAAAGATGGGCATTTGTAGGAATGACAGAGGCTTTATTGGGATGAAACTTAATGTTTGGATAAACATTATATAAAAAAAGCAGGATAGCCAGGTGCATTGTCAGATACCAATAAAATTTTGTGTTTGTCTTTCAAAATTGTTCCTATCATTCCGAATGAAGCCCAACGCTTTACCAAGGACTGAGGGTGTTATGCCTTTTTCAGAATGTTAATTACATTAACTTTCACTTCCATTGTAACTGTTTCCTTTTCTTGGATGCACTACTGTACTATCACTTGCATCAGGTTTGTGTTTGGGAGCCATGATGAGGGCAGCAAAAAACAACAGTTTGTACTTGATGACGCACGTTAATGTGGTGTTAATGTGGTGAGGGTAAAGCATACTGACGCTCCCTCAAGGCTTGTGGCCGGGTGACGCAAACTAGTTTTTGTACGTTAATACCATGAACCAGTTGTACCTAAGTCGGATTCTTAAAATAATTGACCTTATGGAACCTTGTTCATATCGGCAGGTGTTTGTAAGTCAGACATTTGCAACTCGGGGACTCCCTGTACTGTACTTAGTATCATCCAAACAATACCTGTGTAAAATATGAACAAATTCCATAAATTATTTCTACTGCTAACCATCTCCTCCATTATTACCAAGAAACCAGAAGGACCTGACCTAACCTATCCATTGGACCCCTCCAGTTTGTAAAGATTCATTTTATGTCAAACATGGAACTTTGTAATTCTATTTATATTGGGAAAAAAATTATTATGATTTTGATGCAAAAAAAATTTTCGTGTATATTTTAACAGATATTACCAACATTATTGGCAGGGCTTTAAAGAAGAGGGGTAAAATACTAAAAAGAACAACAAAAAAACCATTGATGACCTTACCTAACCTTTAAAAATTATAAAAAGCTAATGTTATTCGTGCTTTCAGTGTTTAGTATGAGATTGTGATGTTGTTTTCTGAGTTCAGAAGAGGAAGGATCCATAAGCTCGAAACCTCCTTACCTCAGTCTTCGCTTCTTAAGCGTCTACAGCGCATGTGCATTGACAACCCATATGAACCCAATTATTTTTCAGATTTAGGTAAGATGTGGGGGCATGAAGAAAGGGGGGGGGGGGAGGGGGGTTTGGTTTGGTGGTTGGCATCTTATTTATGTGATTTATTAAAAAATAAATCCAACTTTTTCCATTATGATTGTTGGGGAGGGGGGGCTAATCTCAAAAACTAGTGATTTCCGGCGGAAATGAATATCAAATTCGGTGAATTTATAGTATCACGCCGGTCTTTATTTCCGTATTAAAAATATGTATCTCGTAATGTTTACACAATTCTAAGACTTTGACGAAACTTGTGACTGAGCGAATGTAATAATATTGAAAAATTGATATCTCGGTTATCCTTAATTTCTGGTGGAAATATCATAGAAGAAAAATGTCTTAGAACTGTCTACACATTACGAAATATGTGTACATCTTAATAACAGTGAAAGAAAGTCCGGTAAATTTTTCTTGTAGCACCGTTCACTTGTAGCAAGTTAAAAATATATTTTTCTAGTGTATTTGTGTGTGCCGAGACCGAATATGACCTTCCTTTTTGGCGGAAATTAGCCGGGTTTTTTTTAGCGATTTTTTTCTTTGACGTTTTCCGAGAAATAAAAAGTGCCTAAGCGACTAACAAATACACAATAAAACACTAGAAAAACAATAACCAAACCTAACCTAACCTGACCTAACTTAACTGACTCTCACCATATGATGGAATCACCTATTTCTTACCTTATTGGCCTGGTTCTTGTTCGTCGTTGCATTCTGGGATTCTTACACAATGCCACATATGTTGGTCTTTGCGATATTTACATTCCGTCTTGCTCTTAGTACACTTTACTGAGGTTGGAAGAACACCATGCGATCGAAAAAATGCTATAGTTTCTACGTTGTTTTTTTTCCCCAAAAACTCGCAATCAGCTCCATATACTTTAAGTGACATCCATCGCAGACTTCCATGGTCGGAACTGAACTTGAATTTCAAAATATGAGACCCAAAATAAAACTCGATTTTGATTGGGCCAAATATACTCTGAATTAGCAAAAACGCTTTTGATTGGCCGCGTGACGTGTACGGGTACGCCTGACCGTCATGATTTATGAAGGAGACGCGAGAGACAGCAGTGTTGGGTGAGAGGCAGACGATAATGGTGGGAAATAATGGAAAATATAAATTTATTTGGAAAAGCTATCTCCGTTATTATACAATTCCGCCGGTAATGTAATAGATGAAAATTATCTTATAATTAGATGTCTTATTCGAATATGATAATAGATTAGTGGTAGGAATGAACGGTGCTACAAGAAAATAATACCAAAAGGCCGGTGCAAGACTATACACTGACCATTATTACTTCAGTATTAATATGAGTACCGGAGATAAAGTATGGTCATACAGAGTACAGTACAGTACAGTGTTCAATAACGACATAACAGTGCAGGTATATTTTTTGTGTTAATTAATTTCAAAGGAAAACTGAGTTAGCTCAATGGAAAAATAACCAAAGAAAGATGTCAGAAGCCTGTGCTCATTGTCACCTTCCTTCCCCTCTAAAGAAATAGTTCAGAATATATAAGAAAAATAGAAGATGACAGAAATGTTTACCTTCATCAGCCAGTCAACTGTAAACAACAAACACTCACAAATAACTTAAACAAATATTAATACAAATTAGATCAACCAATAGATTTTTTGTTGTTTAAATAAATAAATATATATTAATTTGTATATATTTAGTGTGGTGGAAGTCAATTGGAATAATATATAAACAAGGAAACACTGAATAAACAGATCCCTTGGGACTATCTTCTATTAAATTAACTTACATTTTTACGTGCACTGCTTATACATACACGTATCAAAATAATATAAATTTGTATGTATGGAGATTTTACCTGATAAATACATAGATATATATCAGAGTATATGTGTGCCAGTTTCCCGCCAGTATTAGTATCAACATGGCCTCCACAGACTCGACCATGGAGGTGGATCTTCCCTCTAATTCAACTCAACCAACACCTTCAGGGTCTAAAGCTGCCCACACACCATGGTAAGTATCACTAGGAACCTTTATTTGAAGTATATTTTACGTTAACAATAAGAAACATTAAAGAGTTTCTTCATGACAGTAATTATTTGTGTGTTTCCAGTAATACTCGGCTGTTGTCTGCATGAACACTTTTTAATTTATTTTCATTTTCCGGAACAATAGAGGCAGATTTATCACTCTGGCTGGGATTGCAATATTTTCCCCTTATAATAGGTAAGGTGTCAGTAACCTTACTCGTAAAATTCTCTTGAAACTTGATTAGCCATATGAGGTTTTCTGACAGTTTTATTTTTTAATACTATTTGCTGTTTATTTATTGTAAGAAATGCCAGACCTCATAAAGTTAGTAAAGAACAAAAGGTGTGTATGTTGACAATGAACTTAAGTTGTGAGAAGGTGAATCAGGCAACGAAACTAGTCTTATAAGGTGGCTTAGATATCTGAATGGTCCATCACTCGTCACGATCTTCAAGATTGAGGTGCTTCCCCATCTGATCCCTGTGACATGCTAGAGACTGTCAATTGATTGAAAATGTCCAAAGGAGGGCCACCGAACTCGTGCCGGCACTTAGGCATCTCATCTACCCTGAGAGATTAGAACGCCTGCAACAACCTAGCTTATACTACAGACGGGCAAGGGGTGACCTAATTGAAGTCCAGTGTCCATACCTGGAGCTGGTGGACATTTGCCCACAACGGGTCACAGCTCAAGGTTGAAGAAGCCACAAGTCCAGAAAACTGTGAGGGCTAACTTTTTTGGAATGAGAATTGTGAATGCTTGGAACAACCTGCCAGAGATTGTTGTGACGGCACCGTGTGTGAGCTCTTTCAAGACCAGACTTGACCAACACTGGAGCAGGTTCAGATACATTCAGGAGCCAGTGCATGCCCAGTACTGGCTAACAGTGTGTAACAGAGAAGTGACTGACCGCCCAAGTGGCTAACTAGCCGATCAGTGGTGAAAAGGATAAAAGAACAGAAAGAAAGCTTAGGTTGGTTCCTTGATAGTATTGCCTTTAATTGCCCCACAACTTTTTTTTTTATCTGTCATGTAGTTTAGACAATTTTAAAACCCTTTTCTTCTATGAAATTATCTTCGGAAGCAAGCAGTAAGTGAATGTTAAGGTAAGAGTGATATTAAGGTTAGGTTAGGTACTGATGGCAAAACCTGGGGGGATCGGGTGGCAAAGTTCCACTCTACTAGGACAATAAAAATAAGTTTTTCCTAAGGCTGTTGATGAGTTTTGAACAATTATGACTTTCATTTCCGTCGGAAATCACTAATTTTTGGATGAGGGGTAGAGGGGGTGATATCTCAGAAACTAGTGATTTCCAATGGATATGAAGGTCATAATTGTTCAAAACTCATCAACAACCTTCGGGAAAACTTATTTTTGTTGTCCTTGTAGAGTGGGGTTAATTAAAAGCAAATTTACTGGTTCTATTAATGCGCAATCATAGTGAGCCTTTCCTGGGTAATTATTCCATTTATACCTGCATACAATTTAGGCATGACAAACAATATTTTTTAAGGTAGTTTTTCATGCTGAATACAGTGGTGATATTGAAAGTTTGAGGAAATGCATCATTATTGAGTTATGATCCTTCCTACCCTGATATATCTTGATCCCACCAAAGCTAGGCAGGGCTTCGAAACAGAGGGAAATGTGGAATTATAAACTTACCCAAAAGAACCCAACCTAGTGTGGTCATTGTACTCACTTATTGGGTAACTATTCCACAAACACTGGCATGCCATTTAAGCTCATAACCTGATACAGGGGTACTGGCATATGTTGTAGGTTCATAAGTCATTGTTTGTGGAGTATCGGCCCTTACTCGCAGCCATCACTCACTTCAGGCTTCGTGATGAGGAAATTACAGTGTCTTATTTTAGTTATCTGGCAATTGTCCACACAAACCCAATGATTGAAATTATTGGGGCCTTAAAATTGGGGTACCGGTAACTTACTTGATGGGGTAAACAGATTCCTTCTGCTTAATTTCTTTGGGGCCCAGTTAACAGGTTTTGAATTTTAATACCGGTATGTAGTGCTGCCTGAACCTGTGGCTTCACTGATTATTGTTAAGTGCAGCAACAATGATGGTGTCACCTTAAGATTAGACACCCACACTTATCTCACGAGGAATATTAACACCATCTTAGTGCTAACCTAATATGACCCCCCTCCCATGTAACATTGGAGTGGCTAATCTTGAGCTAGAATGAGCTTGGGTGTCTAATCTTCGGGTGACACCATTGCTGCATTTATTGCATGAAGTCTTGGTTTGCTATATCATAGCTAGATAGAAAATTTACAAGTGGACTTTAGATGGTTTTGTGGATTTCATTGCAGTTTTACTTTGGAGTAATACAGTATTACTGTACTGTACTATACTGTCTTCATGTCATTAGTGACAGAGTTTAATATAACTTGATTCAAAATTATGTTAAGAAATCAACTTTACTTTCAGGGTTGAAAAATATCGGCCTACGACATTTCCCGAGATTGTTGGTAATGATGAGACTGTGGCAAGGCTGGAAGTGTTTGCCAAGCAAGGCAATGTTCCCAACATTATTATAGCGGTAAGTCAACCTTAAGAATTTATTAAGTGTTTTTCTTATTAAAATCTGATATAAATAAAGACGAGCCAAAATATAGGTTTATCCCTAAATCACTTATGGAAATATTATCATTATTTAACTTCAACATTTTAATAGTCTTTAATAAACACAAAATTATCATACAGTACATAATTTGATATATCTTTCAGGGCCCTCCTGGTGTTGGCAAGACAACCACCATCTTATGCTTAGCGAGGGCAATTTTAGGTTCAAGTTTTAAAGAGGCTGTGATGGAATTGAATGCTTCAAATGATCGTGGTATTGATGTTGTGAGAAACAAGATCAAAATGTTTGCCCAGCAGAAAGTAACACTGCCAAAAGGAAAGCATAAAATTATTATATTGGATGAAGCAGACAGGTACTGTATAGACTATTTTATACAGTAACTTTTTGTGTTAGTTAATTCTTTTACAGTACGCTGTCAGTGAGTCAGATAGGGCGGGGTGTATAATGGTATGGTGTTTTCCCCATATTCTGTTTATCATTTGGTGTTTACAATAACCTGTTATACACCTGGCAACTTACTGTATAGGGCTAGAGTTAAAGGTCGTTGTTATGAGAATGGATTTTGTATTTTTTTGTATTTTGTATTTTTTTTTAATGCATACTTTTGTCTTACAGCATAAACCTTCACTAAAGTTTGCTCAGTAGATCATGTTTGGTAGATTATAAAATGTGTGTTTTGACTGATATATATATATATATATATATATATATATATATATATATATATATATATATATATATATATATATATATATATATATATATATATATATATATATATATATATATATATATATATATATATATATATATATATATATATATATATATATATATATATATATATATATAACTGCTGGTACATTATTTTGTTTATTTTCTATTTTCTAGTATGACAGATGGTGCTCAACAAGCTTTGAGAAGAACAATGGAACTGTACTCCAATACCACCCGCTTTGCCTTAGCTTGCAACTCGTCTGAAAAAATTATTGAACCAATTCAATCAAGATGTGCTATGTTGAGGTATTCCAAGCTCAGTGACTCCCAGGTATAGACAATATATAGTTTATTTGTTGGTCTTAGTTTTATAGACATATTAGAAACATAAGAAGGAGATGTGTTGCAGCTTTTACCATTTGTTATACCGTACTTCTTCTTAATCGAGTTGTGGCAAACCTTGGAGTACTGTACATGGCCATCAAACACCTCCTTGTCATTATGGGTGACTGAATTTAACTTATCCTGCAGTTATAGAGGTGCCATATATTGTGAAGGGCTACATGTACTGAACATTCTTTTCTATGTTAACACAAGTTGGTGCCTTAATACAGCACATTAAGTTCCACAAATAGCTTTTTCTATCCGATTAACTTTTCTCCTCACCTCCAGTTCCCATCTCCCTCCCTTTCTATTTCTCTTTATGTCCATTCATCCAATGCAAACCCTGATCCAAGTTTTACCTAACCCTTCTTTCACTTGCAGGTATCCTTCATTGTGGTTTTACCTTTTCTCTGCATCCTATTCACTTTACACTGTGCTCTCAAACATGTTATTTCTGTCACTTCTAATTTGATTTTTCCTCTTGCATCCAGAGTCCTTACATTACACTCATTTATAGTAATGTTGGTGCAGTTGTTCTTGTATATATCTCAGTCTTTCTCTCTTTTTTCTAGGTACTTTCTAGAATTCTGGAAGTATGCTCGAAGGAGGACTTGAGTTATACAGAAGATGGTATGGAAGCGATAGTGTTCACCTCTCAAGGAGACATGCGACAGGCGTTAAACAATCTTCAGTCCACCGCACAAGGATTTGGTCATGTGTCATCTGAAAATGTGTTCAAGGTATGACCTTAAGCAGTCTGAAAAAAGTGATATCAGTACCTTGTATTCATATAATGCTTTGGACCTGAGCATTAGAATCTAATTGGTTCACCTAAGGTGCTATTGATGACTATAAACATTGCCTTCTAAAGTTTAGGTTTACATAAAAAACATAGGAATTAACACATTGTAAGAGATCTGATTAAAGTCTTCACGCCCTATTATTTACCGTGACATTTTAACTCATGCAAACATGGGTCTCTTGGACTAGGTTAGGTTGTGAATTTTGTTTTAAAGACACCCACGTGTACCCCGGTCCTATCCCCAGACACACCCATATTACAGGTCCATTTTCAAGGGCTCATGAAAGAAAAAGAAGACTTTTGGGGATAAATTAGTCGAACAAACATAGTAATAATTAATAATATTTTGGGGAGGAATACAATGCATCAGTGGTTCCAACCGGGGGTAATTTTGACTTTCCATGTGGGAGTTGATGGCAGACACACAATTAAAATATTTACAGATATCCCTCTTTTAACCGTATGGATTCCTGAAAAAACGATCGTTAAGCAAAATGATTGCTAAATGAGGGATAACGAGAAATAATATCCTAAAAATGGGATAACAAGGAATAATATCCAAGGAGATGGCATGTAATTGTGTAGTCCTGTCACCCACTCGCCACCCAGTAGCACTCAGAGGGGGTGAGGCTGAGCTGTGAGCCATATTATTATTCAACTCGTAATTTTGGGTAGATAAACTTATTTTCTTAATTTTTCATAAAGAATGTGCAAAAATAAATATAAGGTCAAAAACATAACACAAAGGGAATAAACATTTCTTAAGTGCACTGGAGTTAACCCACAGAGCAGGGAAGGGGGGTAGCAGGGTGGGGGATCTCTCAGTTGTTTTCTGTCTTGTGATCCCGTAAAACAATTGCCAAAGACAATGCAGTATTTTTTCTTATTTTATTTATTTTTTACCATTTCTCACATTTACTGGTACGTACAACAGTATACAATTGACACAGTTCTAGCTGACTCAAGAGACATTTGTGGCTGCTACCTGAATGCAGTGAAGTAATATAGGGGAAGGGAGAGTGCGGCTGGCCGCAGTTACAACTCACTGATACTACCCCAGTACATATGTTCACTCCCATGCTCTTCACTTTTCTTATTTTATAGTATGTTTTCTTTATTTCTAAGCCACATTAGAGTATTGTACTGATGTGCACTTGGAGCAGAGTGAGTCAAAGAATGCTAAATTGAAAATTGATAATCATTAATTAGAAAGGGTGTTAAAATTTTTAAATCGCTAAACTAAAAAAATCGTAAAGCGAACAATCGTTAAATGAGGGATATTATATTGATTAACCAGCATAATACAGTTGAAATATTGATTAGTATCATATAAGCATGATTTGTACCAGTGAATTGATGTTGGGACAAAAGCAGGGGGTTAAGCCTCGCCCCCTCAGGATCACACTAGGGAGTGAGGAGGAAAAATGGCAGAATTCCTCCGGCAGGCAAACTTAGCAAGGAAGCAGGCATTTGAGATGTATTTGTTCACAGACACTTGCGGTAATGCAGGAACAGCACAAAAAGCTCCTGCTGGTTTTAAAACAGAAAGAGGAGGAGTCGAGAAAGGAAGCAGGGACAGGTGCATATAGGTTTATACTCAGGGGAGGGTAGTGAAACAAGTGTTAGCGACACAGGGCCAGGGGCAGCAGTGCACCCTCCACCCACTCAACCCCACCGGGAGGCACCGGCTCAGCCTACCCAGGACAGGAGGAGGCAGCGCCGATGTAAACCGTGGTGCCCACCAAAATGCAATTAATGCCAGCAAATGCTGCAACTTCTGAGGAGGAGAATATGGGTGGAAGTTTATTACTAAAACAGAGAGCGTTACGAGAAACAAATTCTGGCAAAGATGTCATATGCACTAATACCGTGCGTTCCTTGATAAGAGGGAGAGTTTGACACTACTAAAATTACACCAACCAGATATTGTAGGAGTTGTAGAACTGTTGTGCAGAACAGAGAATGTTAGAAGGGAATGTGAGTTCGAGAGTATTGCTGGATATGACTCATTTACAGACTAACTCAAGTCCTACCCAGGAGGGAGTGTGGTTATCATGCTGAAGCCAGACCATGAGCCAGCCGAGCGAGGTAGAGAGAGGATGTCTTTGAAGAATCCAAGTGGTGTAAATTAAATTAAAGGAGGACTTACTTATGGTGGGTGTATCTACAGATCCCGAACTGTAGCCCACCAATCAAAAGAACTTGAACCTTAATAAACAATGCGTGATGCTCAGCCCAGCCACCTCCTTATGTGAGACTTTAACTGCTGGCTTGCTCGGCCGGGCAGTGGCAGACAGAATAATCCTCTCCACTGGCAGAAACTCTGAGATAATTTTCTGTTCCAGCACTTGAGGCCCGACCTGTACAGGGAACAAACACCCGCCACTTAACCTCATCATAACAAACGAGGGAGGTATAATTGTGGCTCGTGCCTTGCCCAGTTGGCACCAGTCACCATACAGTGTTGTCATTCAGATTTGCTGTTACCTAGTTCAAAGATAAGGCCAGGCCAAAGTGCAAATATTACAAGGGAAATTACAATGGGATGAGGGAAGGGTGGGGGTATCAACTGTACGACATTAAGGTACAAGAAGCATGAACACTACACTGAATATCATAACAATAAAATGATGCATTTTGATCGGTAATATACAGACCAGAGCCAATTAGCACAAGATACGGGGGATCTACATGAACCATGCGGCCAGTCGACAAAATTAAGAAGAAAAGCCAATTAAAGGCGTGGGTTAGGGTCAAACGATGAGCAGGACAGGAGGATGTATACAGAGCCAGAAAACCAAGCAAAGATAGAGTGTGGAGGGCGTGAAAAAAGGGTTTAAAGGCTGTGAACACGCGAGATCAAAGTCCATTGAAGCGTTTTACCAGCTATGCAATCGAAATTGAAAAGCAGCGGTAGAATTATCAGACCTGAGGCTTGAAGATGGTAATTCATAAGATTCTGACCAGGATAAAGCTGAGCGATGAACAACTTCTTTTCCTCCAGTGTTCACAAGAGAGGATGCAACCTAACCTTCCTCGTTGAGGACAGGCGGTTAGAGCACAGCACTTATTACATTGTGTTCACAGAAAGAGGCCATTAAAAGTAAGCCTGGCCAGGCTAAAAGTTATGAGTGCTGGACCTGACATGGTGCATCTAGAGTGCTAAAGAGGCTGTGCAACAGGCTTGCAGAGCCCCTGAAGGTCTCATTTTGTAAATGCCTGGATGAACAAATGGGGTCTGTGAATGGTAAACTATCTCTAAGAAGGCGATAGGCACTCCCGAACAACTATAGACCGGTGAGCCTGACCAGCATAATATATATAAAGAATACTTGAAGTATTATCAGAGATGCTGTGATGGAACATCTCAATGTATATAAAAATTTTAGCATAGTTTTATGCGGAAGCTCTTCGCCAAACTGTTGCTCAAGGTATTGGATATTTGGACCCACATATTCTACGGGTGGTAATATAAATAATATTTACTAGATTTGAGCTTTTCGACAGTGTACTTACGAAGGCTGAAAATCAAACTGGAAGAATGCAGATTAAGAATACCATGGATGAAGACTTTTTCTATGACCGCAAGCAATGTAATGGTGATTAATGGCCGCGAAATGCATCATCTGTACCTGTAACAAGTGGGGTACAGGGGGTAGTGTATTAGATACGCTATTTGTTTGTTTGTTTCATAAATGATATGCCTGGCTGTTGTACACTCCTCCATACAAATGTTTGCGATGGCCTTAAGTTATTTGGAAATTAGAATAGCCGGACTGTGAGAGCTGCAGAAAGGACCTCTGGCTGGCTCCGTGGTCAAGAATGGCTGCAGTTCATGCAGTGTAGAGGATGCACCTGGGACCCACCAGCAGTGGGGCGTGCCATATGTCCCAGCGGGATGAGAAAATGCTAGTTGAGACTGTGTGTGAGAAGGACCCTAGGTGTGTGTATGTTGACAATGGGCTGACAGTTCTCGGGCCATTGTGGGGAAAGAAAGGTAAATCAGGCAAATAAATTGTGGGTCTTATAAGAAGGTCGTTCAGATATCCCTGAGCGGCAGTCCGTCCCTCGTGACCGATCTTCGGGGTAAGTGCTTCCCATCTGGTACTGTCACCCCATCTAGTCCCGAGATTATACTGAGAGGGACTGTCCAGTTGGTTGAAAATGTTCAAGGAGGAGCCCGCAAGCTGGTGCCTGCGCCCAGCCTCACGCTACCTGCGAGATTGGGCCTGAACTTACTAACACTCTACAGGCGGGCAGGGGGCTGGGTTGAGGTTACTCAGCATCTCTAGAGGCACACTACTCAGTTGAGTCCTTACTTGCAGGCTGGGGCCTTCTGCTTACAAGGGTCACAGCTCAGGAGATGAAGCACGCAGTCCGGCTTGGTGAGGCAAACTTTTTCGGAGTGGGGTTGTAAACTCTTGGAACAATCTACCAGAAAGTGTTGTGGCGGCACGGAGTGTAGCTCTTTCAAGAAGACTTGACCAGCACTGGAGGCGGGTTCAGGTACATTCAGGGGCGGTGCATGCCCAGTGTTGCCAACCAGTCACGTGGCAGGCGTGACAGGCGCCCGAGGCGGCCTGGCGGCACGGTGAAAATACTCAAAAAAGGAAAGAGAGTCGTGACCGATCATGCATGCTGGCGATCAGTGAAGGATAAAGTAAAAAAAAAAAAGTAAAAGATATTGGTCAGTATTGGTGGTGTGGTAATAATGTAGTGCAGCCAGCCAGGTACAGTTGTGGAAATGTGTTCTTACACCCTTTGTGGTAACCTGTGTCTCCATACGGCAACATCACAGTAGTAGTACAGTACATTATCACTATTTAAGAATGAGTGGGCATTGGTCGTGTAATAATGGATGTGATTGGTGGATAGGTTTGCTATAGGTCGTATAGTTTGGCCGTTTGGAGGCATGGGTTACCACATGTGGTGTAGGAACACATTTTTTGCAACTGTACATATTACAGGTAGCTGCAGGTGTACTTACTCCATCACATTACTCATATTCAGTGAACTGATAGTAATTAATTCAACAAAAAGCTGCAGTAGTCAATAAAAAATTATAGGAGAGGATCAGGAGTGTGGTATTTTATAATATTTTAAATGTCTTTGGTGTAGGAATTGAAAGAGGATAAGCCAGGAAGATTTCCAAGTGTTAGGCTAGAGCTGGCTGATGTGGCCTGAACAACCGTGTGTGGGGCCAGACAGCAATAATTACTGACTATTAACTCACAAACACTGGAGATCAGGTAATGACTGTGGGTAATTTATATGCATCCAGCAATATGGAGGTTATGGGCAAAATGTACTTTTTAGCATCAACCTGTCTTTCCTATGTTTTACTGCAGCTTACAATGTGAAGAGATGATATAACTTGAAAATTTCTTTGCTAAAACCCCATTGAGTTATATTTGCATTTGTTTAATATTTTTACCTTTTGAACTAGAGTCCCATGGGTGATGATTTCCTGATGATGAATGGTCATTTTTTCCATCTTTTCAGGTGTGTGATGAACCACATCCAATTTTGATCAAAGACATGATTCTCTGTTGTGTAAATGCTAAATTTGATGATGCTTATAAGGTGAGTCATGTACAGTATATATACTGTATATGTATATATTTTTTTTTCCCCACACCTTTCTGCATTTTACCACTACTGGATGGCCAGAGTCAAGAGTAAAATATACCTACCTACCTACATACATACAATTCCTATTTTTAACTACTGTATCTACCCATTGACTGTACAGTATAAATGGTGATGAATACAATACAAAGATAATAGACATTGTGTCCCTTTGTTTTATGTTGTTTTCATATTCATTATCCTCTAATATGTGACCCTAAACTTTTCATTTCAAGGAGAATTTTTTGTAGCATCTCATTGTCTGATTCATTTGTTTTCCTATTGGTTTTTTCCAGATCTTAGCTCACCTCTGGAAGTTGGGCTATGCTGCTGAAGACATTATCAGCAATGTTTTCAGAGTCTGCAAAAACACTAATATGGCTGAGTTTCTCAAGTTAGAATTTATTAAGGTAAGAAAGAATATTTATACATCAGTATTAAGTACTCTGATATGGAATAAATGTATGGGTATATGGCTTTGCTTTGGATGAATCAGGGCTAATGGATCCAGCACTCCAGGCATAATGGTGTCTGGTTTGTATCCAGAGCACCTCCAGTCCACCCTGCTGTTGTGGAGGTGAAGACAGTTAAGTGCAGTGACAGTGCCTCCCTGTGTATTGTATCTGCATTGTCCCAGTCAGGCCATAATGCTTATTGAACCCAGTTTTGTTTTCATGTGTAGGTCAGAACGAGAAATTAAAGTGAGAATTTGTGACTTTGGTTTAAGAAATGAGCCTTGGTAATGATGAGCAGAAGTTGTCAGTTTTATGGTAAGTTGTGCTGAGTCTAAGGAAGACTTGATGAGAATATTAATATAGGTTATTGAAGAATGTTGAAAGAAACTTTGTGGTTGTCCCTCACCAATTCATTTATTCTTGATGTAACTATTTTCCATGATCCACTCACACAAATGGGAGTTAAGCACAGTCTGTACACACATACAGTAATTACTTCACACACTTTCCCTTTTACAAAATCTAAAATAGTTTCATTTAATGAAACTTATCAAGGCTACTCAGCTTATGTAGATCTTTTGCCCACATGGTAAATTTAAAAATCCTTTGTTACTAAGGATTTTTTTTTGTACATTACCGTGTACAATATAATTTTGAAAATAATTATATTCTCTGCTCTGTTACAGGAAATAGGTCTCACCCATCTACGTATAGTCCAAGGAACATCATCGCTCCTCCAGTTGTCAGGACTCCTGGCTAGATTGTGTTCAAAATCGCTTGAACCTTCCAAAATACCAACTTTTTAAGAACCTCGCTCCACTTAGTACAAGGTGGCCGACTTCAAGAATAACACATATTCTCTTCATTCATTGTCATACATTCATATACAATATACCGATGTGATATGGTGTGGTGTTCCTCTTCCACAACAAGACCCCAAATACCCATCTAGCTCATGATATTTGATTTTATATTTTATAACACTCACATATTTAAGGTATATAGTCTTACTTCAGGTCTTTTGTGTAATTGATGGCAGGGGAATTTTGTAGTGTATGTAGGGTGAATTTTTGTACACCATCCAATTGTGCAGGCAGACATTTATTAGCCATATCCCACTCCCATCTACATGGAATAAAACACAGGTACTGTACACATAAGACTCATCAGCCTCACAAGATATCATTATGATCCCTGCACCACTGACTCTCGGATGTGGTAAATAATACAGGTTATTGGTAGATATATAGACAGGCATTTCTTGAATTATGTGAAAGTTCTGTTCTAGAAAACCATCCATAAATCTATGCTCCGTGAGTCGAGATATGCCTGAACTTTACAACCTTCCATTGTAATTGGATTGGGAAGTTCATATTGCAATTTACAGTCCTCCCTGAAATTACAAAAGGTTACTGTTCCTCAATTTACAAGTTTACTGTAACTGAATAACTCTTTAAACATAGATTGATGGATGTCTGGAGATAATCTGTGGAGATTGTTTTAATAAAATTTGATATTTTCTAGCAATTCAAAATGACTTTTGCCATTTCCTCTGTTTTATATACTATACAGTTTTGTTCTCTATTAAACATTGTCATAAATAGACTTTTATTACTTGTTCATAATTCTGAAGTTTCCCTATTCAAAAATTATTGCATTACTGACATCAGTTAAAACCAGTAACTTGTACTTGGCTCTTGATTCTGCTAAAGCAGTTATGTATTTTTTTTTTTTTTTGCCTTTAATCAGTAGTTTTAACTACCGTATGCTGGTTACCATATTTTACAGCATATAAGACACTTCTTTGTCTGAAAAATGGTAAAAAAAATCAGCCTGCGTCCTATATGTGAAGTTGCGGTCTCCCTTAAGCTAATGAATACCCCAGTTGCTGTCTCCAATAGGCTAAATTCTACCTAACAAAACTCCAGAATTAAATTTTTTTTTATTGCTAACTTAAACACATTATTATTATTATTTTTAATTATTTTTTTATTGTAATTATAAAAGCTCGATTTATAACTACTGTGATGATACCCTGAGAGGATTAACGTCCATATGGCAGACACCCAACTCTTCAGAGGTAGCTAAGCAGTAACTATTTCTGAACTCTTACAAGCATTACACTCTATTAATGCCATACCTGTAACATTTATTTTTAGATCTACAAATACTTGATAAAAATGAAGATTTACAGATAACTTTTTTTCACATTTGCATCTGTTAACATCGCTGGCAGCATTGTAGCCAGGTTAGACTCGTCACTGTAACCATGCATATTGTGAAAAAGTAAAAGAAATGATTGTCCTAAGGGCAAACGCATAAAGGGAATATACATTTCTTTGCACACGAGTTTGTTGGCTCAGTGAGGTAGGGAGGTGTGTGGGAGGCGTTTCCATTGTTATGGTGAACCAGGGAGTATATGCAAGTGGCAACTGTGTTAAACTTTCATTTGGCTTTTATTTACTGGTTTGGCAACAGTATTTTTTTTTTGTAACTTATTAATTGGTATTATTTTTATTTATTCCTCACATATACTGGTACTGTACAGTATATGTATATTATTTTAAGAAACTATGGCTACTGCAGGAAAATTCACACAAAAGTTTTTTCCTGAATACTCCCTGCTAAAATAGGGGGTGCATCTTATATGCCATAAAATACGGTATTTTTATCATGTGATGCTAGTTCAGAGTGCCTCCTGAATAATTTTACTCTACTACAAAAGAAGTCCATTAATTTAAAGCATAAAACTAATTTATCCCAGTTTGGTAAAAAGTATCGGTTACATTTTTGGGGCTAAATAGGACAATTAAACCAATTTAGCATGACTATGTACAGTACACTTTATACATTATAGTAATACTCCTGTAATCTGGAATCTTCGATTTCCAAAACTTTCCATTACATGTAAAATAAAATTTTAGCTTTCTGAGAAAAATCTCTTCGTTCTAGGCATTTGAATGAATTTCTGAGAGATCGAATCATGTGCTGACAGGATGAGCACGTGAGTGGGTAGGCTCAGAGTGCTCTTGTGCTACGTTTGGCTAATAGAGTCATGTGATTGCATCGGATGCCTATGGTATCTTGCAACATATCTCCTTAAACTCTAGCATAATAACACACTTAGTTCATTGCCTGCTGTCATTGAACAAGCTTGTTTGCTAACTCCTATTTTCACAGATAATCTGTTGTACAGTACTGTACACCATTATCAGGATACAATCATCCAAGAATACTGATAAAGCAGTGGTTAAGGAATGTTAAGATGTAAAAAGTGATTAGTTATGTATACTGTACTGTACATGGTGGACAGTGTATGTCTACTGTGGGCTAATGTGAAGAGGGTGTATGTACAGTATACAGTGTGTGTGTGTACAATCCCTCCTTCATGGAGGGAGAGGCAAGTGACACTTAGCAAAACCTGGTACAGGACAAAGGCAGGCCATCCAATATCATCAGATCACCATTTGACTTGTCTGCAAAACAGCTCAAGATGACGGCATCTGCTAGCGAGTACAGTATACAGTGGTATATTTTGTACATTACGTTAGTGTTTGCAAAAGTAGAAAACGCTATGTGTCTTTCCAACAGCAGTTAAGCCTCTAGCAACAGTACTCCATGCCAGATGCATTGTTTATAATTATGTGGAAACATTCACCAATGCCCAGAAAAATTCGTTAGATGTGCAACTTTTTCCAGTGTTAAGAGAATTCATCTCAATACCCAGAAACCTCAAGCCCGGAAACGCACTGCACCAATCATCCCGTCTGATGGGGATATAACATGCACTCTACTGTACTGACACTTGTGCAAGAAAAATACTTTATACAATACTGTACAGTATACATATCTGGATTTGCTCGCTATCCTTTATAGAAGGTTGGCCATCACCTTTCACATGTTTAATAACCTAAAAAGTCATGGTTAATTCACACCTACTCCTTGATTTTAGGATTTTCTTTTCATTAAACTGAAGAAGGAAAATAAGAAATTTATATTTTATTTTGTTATTATTAATTTTACACAACTGCTTTATGGTCACAAAATTCTTGATGGTTGACAACCCTTTGAAAACTAATGACATCCAGTTTTGACAACTCGTGGTCCACCAGGAAGGTTTAGTGACCTGCACATAACCAAGAACATTGATAAGATTATGTATAAAATAACACTTTAATGACCATAGGTAATTATCTCAATTTATCATGTATGAAAGGAAATTTGAGTTGATTAACCACAAGTGGCCGCTGACTCACCAGGAAATACATTAGTGCCTTGCTGAACTGAAACACGTGAAGCTAATTAATATGATAATGTATGCATGAAATATGAATTGGATGGTGTTCAAAAGGTAAGTTCATAAAAAAGGGATAATTTGTTACATAATTTGATGTAGGTGGTGAGGTGGTGCTGTAGGGCAGAGAGGGACTGTCAGTGTTGGAGTGGCAGCCAGGTCGAGTGGAAGCATTACAATGGTGTACTTGAAGCTCTTAGTGGTGGTGTTGGTCCTGTTTGTTGTCACCACATACAGCAGTAATGTAAGTCGTGTGTGTTAAAACTCCCCACTCATGTTATTAATGGTTTAAATCATAACTATCATGACAATTTGATTTTTAAGGTATAATTTTTTCTGTTAAAGCACATTTCTTATAGATAATTGTCCTCCCTTTCTTTACATTGATATCTTATGGGCAATGTTACTGACAAAGTGCCCCTATATTCAAGCTAGTGCATTGTGGGTATGAAAATAGTAGGTTGTAGATAAGTCATTTATTCTATGTTATTGCTGTCTCCCCTCCCCACCCCGAGTTAACCACTGACCCCTCAACCCTCTATGAGATGACCTTTGACCTCTTGCCCCCTAAGTGATGATCTCTTGACCTTTTGCCTATGTAGAGTTGACTGCTGACCCCTCACCCCCCTATGAGTTGACTGCTGACCCCTCACCCCCTATGAGTTGACTGCTGACCCCTCACCCCCTATGAGTTGACTGCTGACCCCTCACCCCTGTATGAATTTACTGCTGACCCCTCATACCCTATGAGTTCACTGCTGACCTCTCACCCCTATAAGATGACTGCTGACCACTCACCCCTATGAGATGACTGCTGACCTCTCACCCCCTATGAGTTGACTTCTGACCCCTCACCCTTCCCTTTGAGTTGATTACTGACCCCTCACCCCCTATGAGTTGACTGCTGACCCCTCACCTCTGTACTGCCCATTCTGGGGTCACTAATCCTAAGGGGATAACTTAAATCTACTCTTAATTTTAAGGTCGCTGCCACCAGACCCCCTGGACAGTATGTAGCTTGTTCGGTAGCTGGCAGAGCAAGCCAGGCATTGGGTTGGGTTTTTCATTTACCAAATCGAGAGTGGGAAGAATGGTGAAACATCAATCATGACTTAACTAATTTATTCCTTATAAAAACATATTGCATCCAGTCACAATACCAAAGATTTGGCCTTCATCAGAATAACCACTATTATGTTCATTACACTTCACATCAGTATACGTCTTTCATCAAGTAATGACTATTTTCATCTTCATTCTTCATAACAACCACTGACCTCCTTACCTCGGTCATTCCTTCTTACCATAACACCCAACACATCAGACTGCACCACCTGTTAGAGTATAGCATCACATGTTATATTATAGCACCACATCTCGGGTACACTCCACACCTACAAGTATGGAACTCCTCGGTATTCTTCAGGTACACATACTAGGTACCTCGTTCACACTCTACTCTTGCTAATTACGCTAGATGGAATACTTCCCAGGTAATCATACCAGTACTGGTTCCACACCTGGTATTCTTAGGTCGCTCCACGTGGCGACCGCGAAACTTCTCAAACACACAATTATGTTCTCCTATCGTGGGTGGTGATATGTAGGGTATCCACAGATTCCCAGTGGAGGTGCATAATGGCACAAGCAGAACACACCACACCCGGTGGGTTCCTCACAGTGGAGCAGTGGTGGTGGCTTGGCCGACGCTCAAGGCGCGTATCGGTTTTGGTTTGAAGCTGGGCGTCACTGAGAGTACTGCCTGATGGGCTTTTATCACCACGCATTATTGCAACTATTACTTTGCTTTATAACATTATGTAAGGTTTTAAGATGTAAAAAACTGCTAGATAAGTCTTTTAAGGGCTGAATGGAGCACAATGGAGTTCACTGACCTGTTTTGGTGAGCAGCCGGGCGTCGGCGATGCCTGGTGTCTCACATTGAACTAGGCCTACAGTTTTCAATCTTTAATTTTCACTTTGATATTATTCTGGTTCTCACATATACACTTTCCTATCTATTGTGACCTTGTGCCTTATAATTATATATCTTAATTCTAAATTACATACTAAAGTAAGGGTCTGATTTGCTAGTTCCAGGGGAAATTCATTGGGTTATAACATTAATTCGGCACCGTAGCCTGGGGCGGCCTAGGTGCCAAACCCGAACAAAAGCCTAGCGTCGTGTTTTCATGGCGTGGGTATACCCACTTCACTTCACTTCACTCTGTATTTAGGGATCCTACCCTCACACGTTGCAATCATTGAACACATTCATAAGATTCTCTGACCCTTGCACTGTTCGAGGT